GTGTTGAAAAGTCCATTGGTAGAAACACAGTTTCTATAATCTTATGAGATTTACTTTGTAATGTCATTACCAGCTATAAAAGGTGACAGCTCTTATTTTCATTTGACTTTATAACAGTGACTGGAGTATAAATATAGATTTGTTTTTAAATTGTGCTGGAAATAATTCTGGAACGTTTTCCAAGTTTTAAATAATTCACTGTACATTTCAGAATGGGAGACACTCTACAGCACGCCGCAGACTTTTTTGAAATCCTCAGCTGGTTGAGAATCAATCCATATAGCCTTTGTGCGCAGAAAGAGCTATATATAGATGGATACTGCAGGCAAGCTGTGTGTTATGCAGGCTCAGGACCTGCTTTACCCAAAGCAAAAGCCATATTCTTTTTCTTCTGAGCGTGGTCACTCGTGTGGCATATAGCATATTCAATACAACCGTCTCAGTAAAATCATAATGCAAATTGTAAGTAATTCTCTGAACTGGGAGAGTTGGGAAGACAAGCCAAGGAATGGGGAGTAGAGAACAACAAAAAGACCCATGTTACTTGAGCTTGCTTGGCAGTTTGTGTATTATGGCTCCTTCCTACAATCTAGCAAACGATGGAGTCAGTTTCATACGCTTAATACCCTTATACCCTGACACGAGCTAAAAGTGATTTTTCCCCATCCCCCTCCCTTGTTTTTAACCTCTCCAGGTTTTCAATTTTTTCTTCTCTTTACTCTCCAGAGATGGTACAATTTTCAGCATTTCCTACTGTAAATAGATCCATATACAAAGTGAAAGGTGAAATAAAAGAGGAAAGCTGTTTGGTTTAAGCCTGTGTTGCTATAACTACTCCACCAGTTCTCTCTGCAGCATTTGCGTGTAAATCTCTCCTTGCCGTTTGTGGGCACTGTTCTTTTTGAGACTGATTATGTATTTCACACTGGTGCAGTTCCCTATGATGTCAGTACATAGTGGGAATGCAAGATGTTCCCTAAATTTGTACCCGTAGCTAGGTAGGCAGAAGCATGTTATCCTATCAGTCAGTCAAGACAGATATTTTTGAATGTATCTTGCTGTTAAGCCACAAAGAGCATAACCTCGACTACTGTTTGTCAAGTGTTGTCAAGATAACTTCTCTTCCTGTTTTTAATGTTTTCAATGTTTTGTGGTATAGTCCCTTTAAAAAAACAAGCATAGAGGAGAGACAGGACTTGGGATTTCCACTTTGCATTCTGAATGCGAAGCTGGATTTGTCATTGTAAAATGAAGATGATAGCTGTACTTTTTTTCCTCCATAAGGAAGGAGGAAATATAGACAAAGGAGAAGAGGAAATTTAACAAATTTAACACTATGACTTATTTCTAGGTCATTAACTAGAGGTATAGAACCATGTTAGATCGTATCTAAATAACTAAATAGTGTTCAAAAATGCTAAATTGTAGTTCCAACATGACCTGTGGAAATCCAATTCCTTGCCAGTTTTTAAAAATAATGTGCTATATTTGGGAGGATATCTCTTAATTGCTCTTCATGAATGTGAATACTGAAGATGGGTAGTGGTAGGTTTGGAGATTTTTAAGACCAAGATTGGAAGCAGAATGTTTTACAGTACCAGCCTGTGGAGAAATGTCTAAAAGCTGCCATTGTGTCTTTCAGGCAAGAACAACTGAAAGCCCTAATGCATTTTATCTGCCTCTCTGTTCCTCAGCCCTATAAATAATTCAGCTTTGTTGGCTTAACTACTACTGGCAACTGTTATTTATTAAGAATGACTGAAATAACTATGTAGCTCAGTAGAACAGAATGCATTTGGGACTTAAATGTGAAACAGAGTGCCTAAAACATTTTGATTATTCTCTGAAGAAAAAAAACAGAACTCTACTGCCAATATTCTTTGCATTTCTGCAAAGGACAAGTGACAGTGGGAATTAGGAGGTGATCTTTTGAAGTAAGTAGAGATTTATTCCTATAACAGAGCGTACACACTGATCTTAGAGCCCCTTTCCCCCCCTCCAGTGTCTTGTTCTGTGTGCATCAACGTCAGTAATTTTAAAATTCGGGTTACAATTATATCTTTAGTTTGCCCTAGTGTATAATATTTGAATACATTTTTGCTATATGTTTATCTGTAAAACTATTTTGAAATATGCTGTGTAGGCTTTTCATATTTGCTTTTACGTTTGATTATCTTGCATGTCATACTCAAGAGAAAGGTAGGGCAAAAGAGCAACAGTGTTTTCTGGTGATCAGAGCAAGTGATTGAACTGCAGTTCTCCTGTTCCAGTCGTGGTTTTGGGTTAATTAATAATACTCAGCCCTTCCTGGCGTAGTTCATCATTAGATTTGAAATTGCTTTTCAAAGGTCAATATTATTATCCCCATTTTATAGACAAAAAATAAGTCTTGGGAAGGGCTCAGATCAGGCAGGGTATTGCTAAATCAGAAATAGAATATGCTACAACTGAGTGGCAGATATTTGGCTGTACATGTAAGATGTATTACTGTATAACAGTAGACTGCTTTTGCAAGTCAACTGATTATAAATGGAGTGTTTGGAATAAATTTTGTATCACAAAAGAGTTGACATCCAGGACTCGGTTGACTAATTATCTAATCTTACATCTGGCATAAACAGCCAAGCCATTTTTTACAATGAACTCTGTTGCATGAGAGTCAGAAAAGAGAGAACGTTCTCTGCCGACTCAGTGGTCATAAATCTTCTGGAGTGTATTTTGCATTATATTTGAAATTTATCCAATGGGTTGAAAGAAGTTAAACGATCAACTGTCATTTTAAAATCCTAGCCAGCAGCCTTTACTTTTTGTAGTTTACGTAAAAACAAATATTACGGTACAAGCACAATTATTTGGGGAGTAGCTCTGTAGATTTCACTTAAGTGTGATGTTACTGAAAGCTGTTCATTTGAATGGGCACTGTAGATTCATTATCTTCATCTTTTTTTTTTTTAAGAAATCATTTTATAACTATTTGCCTTAATTATGATCATCAGTAGAGTTATTGATGAAGAGAGCAGTATGTGCCTTTATGTAGCATTTTGTTTCATTTGTTTGAAATCAGATAGTAAACTATAATACAGTATGATGCATTTGTCTTTATGACAAGTAATTGGAGGACTTAAGCATGTTAATTTGATCTGAAATAAAACAGATGCTCTGCAATGAATGATTCTTATCAAACTTTTGTTTCTTTGTACAGTACATCCCATCAGGTTAAGGGACATACCAAAGAAAGTGTATTTTTAACTGGTAGAAAAAATAGGAGATGAATCAGTGGTAAGTATGTGATATGCCTAAACTTTTAGGGGCAAAGCTTGCCTCTTGTAACAAATTCTCCTGCAACATGAATTTTTCTAGATAATGTTTCATTAGTATGGTATTGTTAAGAGGGAAATCACCAAAAACTCTGACTCAGACATAAAAATCCTGGAATAAAAAGAATATATGTAAACAACTTCAGAGCAAATGCCAACACACTCTCATTGATTTTAGAAGGCATCTCATTCCAGCTAGACAAAACACAGAATTTATAAATTAAATTTTATGTATATTGTATATGGTTTTATGCTGATGTTGGCACGCTTTCAGATGTAAAATTAAATTACTTTTTCCAGTAAGGCAGCACAGATTGGAACATGGATTCCTTTCTTTACTAATAAAGCTAGTAGGAAGATATTGAATTATGCTAACTTTCAAATTGATGGAGAGCAAAGAGAGAAAAATCAATGAAACTTTAAACATCCTGTAGAGCTTTTAAATAGGCCCCAGTCTAGCAGAGAGACTCGCTATGAGAAGATTGTTGTTGACATTGGATTTCCAGTTAAGAAATGTATTTCTTTAGATAAGCATGCATCTTGCATGGATGCAGACTTCATTATTGCTCCAAGTACTGGGGTGCTAAGTAGGCAGTGATGGTTTTTGGAATGGTAGTCAGAAGATTTTGGATACTATATATGTATGTCACTCAATAGTTCAGTATTTCTGTTTGAGCAGAGAATGCACCATGTAAATAAGCAAAATAATCTTTGTGAAATGGCAACAATAAAAAAACAGAAGGAACTTTATCTTGGTTTAACTTCATCTAAAATCCTGAAAGTCATATTTGATTGGGTGATTCCAATAAACAATTCTGATTTTGGCTAATGATAGGATAAATATAGATTATTTTACTGTATGGTCGCTCTTACACAGTTGAGCCCTAGAGGTCTAAATTATAATAAATGCCAGTTGAATATGTGACTTTCTGCTTTTGTATAACTTCACAAAATTATAAAAAGTATTATTATAAATTGCATCATATAACTAACTGAAACTTAATAGAAGACTATCTAATCCCTCAGAATCCAGCTGCTCAGGCAGAAAAGCTTATGCTTTAGAGAGGAGACTGATGTATTGACATAGTCTGCATTAATTTTGAAATAGCTATAGTCTGTATCTATCTAAAATTCATGGATGCTGGTCTCTCTCTGTAATAAAAAGTCTCTCTTTGCATTCCTTCAAATTCTTAGCTTACCTTTCGTTTAATAACAGATGGATAAAATGCGGCTCTAAAGGTCTCCGGTCCTGGAATATGATTTTCAGTAGTAAACTTTCTATCTTGAACTCTTTGATGTAATGAAGAATATCATACAATCATCTCTGGGAATTCCACTTCTTGCATTATTTCTGCTTTCAGCTCCTTGAAAATTCATCGTATTTTTTAAGAGTTGTTCATGGTATGGTAGACCTCCCTTGTCATTTTAAAATGACAAATTCCTTTAATGATCTGTATCATAGACTAAAACTTTAGAAACATTCTGAACAGTGAAATTCAAAAGTCTGGTTTGTAAAGGAACAAGGCTTTTATGATTGCACATTCTGTCCACTTGTCAGGTCCCTCCCATCAACAAATGTAACCTTGCTGGCCAATTTCAGTCAAATTTGAAAGATGGGTTGAGGACTGAAAGATAATTAAATACCTGTACATTTTCTGGAAATTGGTGGCAGAGTAGGCGAGAATGGGCCCTCCAAGGTAAAGGTAGGGAAGGGAGTACTTAGCCCTGATGGATTTGTCTGGCAGCGTCAGAGGGGCAGTCGGCACGTAGCTAGTGTCTGCTCAGCCCCAGCACGGGCTGTTCGTTGTGTGAAACAGATGGTGCTGCAGCCGGGGGGTGCTCCAGGGAAACTGGTGGTGTTGGAGAGGAGAGTCAAGGGGCAGAGCGTGCACATCTGCAGGGGGTCAGGGCTCGCTCTTCCTGCTGCTAGTGGCATTGCTTCTCCTGTTTGGCCTAACTTTTAGTGAGAAAGGTGTTCGTAACAGTGTGCTGGAAAAGAGTGTGTGTGTGTGTGTGTGTGTGTGTGTGTGTGTGTGTGTGTGTCTGTGTATGAGCGTAGCTGGAAAGGAGGCTGATCTTAGGTTTGGCATCCATTGATAAATCTAGTGCCAGCTGCGGCCAGACCCCAGAGGCTGGGAATTTGAGCTGCCTTCCACTTCAGCTGACTGGAGAAATGAGCTGGGATATCCCTTTGCAGCTGGGTCTCCCAAGTAGTCAGATAAAAGAATTTATAAGCCATGCTCTTGCAGGCATGCTTTCATGAGCATTTTTTTCTCTTATTCACCATCAGCAAAAATCTCCAGACCTAATAAGGAATTGCAAAGGGAAATTATTGTGCCTATGAAAGCAATTTTATTCACATTATTTAACTGTGGAGCCTTTGGATATTTTTGAGATCATAGCCTCTGTAGATACTTTGTCAAGTAATAAACAGATGTTACAAAATAAATATAGTGACAAATACTATAAATCTGATGTGTGTATTGAAACATCTTAATCCAGCTGCTGAAAGCATTATCTGATGAGCAGTGCATCTCTATTTTTTTAAGTGTAGTTAAGATATACTTATCTGCAGGATAATGTCTATGTAAACTTGATCGTACTCTAATGTGATCTCTAGAGTATGGCAGTGAGTATAATGTGAAAGGCTAAATATTCTGTAAAAAAGATAACATTGCATTGTCTATATATAATATGGGTATTACGAGCACATGAGAAATGGTGTATTTTTTGTAATACTTGCGTATTGTATGAGTGTTCCTTACAACTTGTGTCCCCACAAGGACAGATTCATTTTGAATCTGACTGGGCAGCTGTCTCTGTGAAGCCTATAGATAGCAGCTTCCTTGTGTAGCACATTTCCAGCTCCCTGAAACAGATTTATCAAGCATCTTTACTGTCTCAACACTGCCAGCTCAAATGACTTCTCAAGGAGCTTTGGTTATGCAATCTTTTCAAAAGGAAACTGCAGCAGCTAAAATCTAGTGCAGGGTTTCACCGCAGGTCAGGAAAGCCATAATAATCCATAACATAATCCATTTGTCCACCATGGCCAGCCTTTAAATAACCTCAAAACTTTTGCCAGCTGTGAAAAGTGGAAAAACAGCATAGGTCAGATCAGACTGGTGTGCTCATAGGAGAGAGCTGTGCTTTGTGAGTAAGGAGAGGGCAACCTGCAGGGACGGGAGCTGGAAATAACATTCTCTTGGCATAATTAGAAGATACAGCAGTAATCGTTTCAGGGTGTAAGGACTGCTTAACAAAATATTCCTTTTTGTGTCCTCTGAATCCTATCTGACTTACAGAGGTTAGAGAAACACAAAGTCCTTAGCCGGTACCCTGTCTTCCTGGATGGCCACCGAAACACAAGGTAGCTAAAAAGAGGGATGGGTAAAGAGTGAAAGGGTCTGCCTGAATAATTTCTCTGCTCCTTATTGCTGCAGTTCACCACATGGGATCTTTCAAAGATACAGACTTTAAAGACTTGTTCAAAGAGCTTCCAGGCTGTGCTAGAAGCTCCATCTGGAAAACGTCTCATGAGAGTTTGGTATTTTTTTGTGAATACAGGCTGGGGACAAATGAGCTTTTTCTTTTTTTTTTTTTTTCTTTTTTTTTTTTTACTGAATCCTTGCAAAACTTGCTTTCTAAAAAGCACTTGCAACAGGCCACGTTAACACAGGAGTGTTTGTCACTAGTGTAATGCCTTATGGGAAGGGTGCAGTTAGCTTGTCATCCCCGTAAAGTCTTTTACTAACAGTAAATTATAGCCCTTATGGGAATACGCTGTACTTGCTTCTTTTCAGGTCATGTTCTCGGTCTTGGATTCCTGTGTTTGACTATATACAATGCTTTTTACTGTTTGCTTGTGGATTTGTTTTGTGTTTCAGCAGATTTAATAGCATTTCTATTTAAATCATATTTCATTCCAACTAAAACAATGGTGTTCTATAGTTAGGGAGTTCTTAAGGTAATAGGAATATTACATGTTTTGTGATTTACTGGCCATTTTTGTCTTTGAAAGGCACAAGTACATTTTGGTCCATTTTTCTTGCTTTGTTTGTGTCAGTGATGCCACATCAGTTACACTGGACTGGGATAGCGTAAGTATTCTCAGCATCGATAACACCTAATTGTATATTTTGGCAAGTGGCAGTAATGGACCTGCATCATCATTTTTCTAGACTTTTAATCAGCGGTCCTATGTCTAATGCTCTAAGGACACAAGCGTTACTGAGTTTTAAGAACCTGATCTCTCTCTCTCTCTCTCTCTCAGGTTTTTTCCCTTTTGAGATGCTTTAACTTTTCTAAAAATGTGTTTACTTCATGCAGTTGTTATGATATACGTCAGCAGCCCGCATCAGATGAGATCTGCCTATCTAGAGCTCTTGTCTGCCTTGTATTCCACTTAGAATTTCTGGCATCATGTAAGAACAGACAAGATGGAGCAAGAAAAAGTATGAGTGCTCCATAAAGCATATATAGATTGGAAACATCTGCCACTATCATGATATTTTGCCCTTTAGATGTGCTCTTATCTAGAAATCTCAAAGTATTTTGCAAACATTAAATTAAGCCTCCTACAGCCCCCCTCCTCCTCCCCCAGGAAATGACATTATCATCCCTTGTTTGTAGATGAGGAATTGAAGGACTGAGTGGTGAAGTGACTTGGCCAAGGTCAACTGCTGAGTTAGTGGCATGGCTATGAATAGACATAGGCATTCTAGCTCTCAGCTCTCTGCTAAACAAGATCATGCCCTCCCAAATTCTAATTGTCATAACTTAATGACTAATAAGATTTGAACATCTAGAATGTGGCAGAAGAATTTATTTTCAGCCAGCAGACAGGTAATCCTTACTTATGCCAGGTGCAGAACACAATACACCTCCAATGTCCATACACATCCTGTCTGTCGCTTCTTTGTTTTTTGCAACAGATGGTGTGAGGACAGCTGAACTGCTCGTGCGAGAGTATTTTATTGTTCAGGCAGAGATCTTTGTTATTTCGTGGGATGCTGTAGGTTCTCATCTGAATGTTCATTTTTGTGATAAAACCAAAGGTACTAGACCTGATTCTTCACTTTCCTCAGTATAACAATAATGAAGCAAGTAGCCTGACAGCAGTTTGACTTCAAAATCTAATCCATTTTAAAAGAAGTTATAAACTGCTGTGCAGTCTACTATTCCTTGTTGTTGAAAGAGAGAAGTAATTGAACCAAATTCCTCTCAGGAGAGAAGTAAGAGAATTGAATTTTGTGTTGCGCTAATCAGGAAGAGGAAGTCATCTGTCTCCAACTGGTCACTTCACTGCTTACATTGCATAGTCCTATAAAGGCTGCATAAGAAGCTTTGTGATGAACAAATGTCAAGGGCAATTAATTCTTTGGCAGGCAGTTGTTATTATTAGGACAAAGAACGGCCAGACATAAAAGGAAAGCCTTCATCTGATTTATTTTCTCTGTCTTTTCCATCAAAATTGATAAGTCACTCAGACCCCAATGGTGAACTTTTATGCAATAAGAATTTTAAATTTGCCTTCTCTTTTTTTAGTAGGAGATCCTATATTGGGTTTAGAACCCCGAGGAATAGCTCAGAGAAAATGTTTGGAAAGTCTTCATCACTCTAATGCTCTCAGCAAGGAGGAGAGTTGTGTGTTAAGCTGGTAACATAATAATACGTGGGCTGAGTTAAGCCCACTTTAGACTGTTTTTCTCAACCTTAATTGATGGAAACTGCCCACTTCTAAGCTTGATTTATTACCTTAGCCGAGTTATCCCAGGATTGCTGCACTGCAACTGTGGGGGTGCTAAACACACCCACACTGCCAAAGAATCAGGAAGGATATACTTTTAAAACCTCTAATTTATCTAATAACATCCTTAGTGGCTTTTTGTGTAGGTTTAGTATTGTAATGGAAATAGATGCTTTGGTAAGATAAAGAACTCCTGTATGAAACTGCTAGCATCACCTAAGTAGTCTGTAGGGACATATAAATAGCACTGGCAGACTGACTGGGGAAATGCTCTGACCAGCTATGCACACTGTAAATGCACCTTCCAATTTTCCGATCTGTCACTAAAGTTAAAATAATAAAATCCAAAATTTCAGCTCTGGATGCTCATGATGGGGCATGCCTTGTTTTCATAGTTTGGCCCCCCCCCCCCCCCCCCCCCCCCCAGTAGAACAGAGGTCCCCCCCACTGTCTGACTGAAAATATTCCTGTGCTTTTTAGGTCCTATATCTCCATTGTAGCCACTGTCTTTGCCTTAATCCTTAACGAGGTTCCCTATTTGCCCATCAGTGGACTCTCTTGAGGGGTCGTTTATAAGTGACACAAGGAAGTCTGAGGGAACAAGTTTGCTCTTCCTGACAGGTTTCTACATTGACTGGTGAGAGTAAGCCTGGGCCTGGGAAACAAGCTCAGATTCTTGCAGGTGCTACCACAGCCAATTTCCTTCCTATCTGAAGCGAGCTCAGTCTGAGAGGCTTGTGTTTATAAATCCTTTCAGCACAGATTCTTCTGCTTCTGCTTTGCTTTTATTTAGGCTGTACATTAACAAGTAACTATGCATTTTTCCAGAATGCTATTCTCACAGTGTTGCTAGCTCTGTTGACATAACTATTCTATCTATCTCAGGCATAGTAACCTCTTGCTTTTGTTGTGACATGGAAATTGTACGTAGCATGAACAGTAACCAGCATCGCTGCTCCGGAGTTTTGGGACTAATAATAGAAATTTAAAACCTGTTCTTTGTGAGCTAAATAAAGGCACGCAAGACGAGGTAGAAAATTAACTTCTACAGGCACTAGAAGTAAAGGAGATCCTAGCCTATTTTCTTCTTACTCGTTACTCTTACCATTGCTGTATGTAAATAAGATCGGAGTTCTCCTATTGTGCTGGGAAGAGCCAGTCCTAAGACAGCCGATTTCCTCACGCAGTCATGCCTCATTAGTGCGCGCGTTGCTGAGGTCTGGAGGCGCTGCGTGAGCTGAATGCTCAACTGCTAATTCTGGGAAATGCTCTTGTTGATGGTGCAATAACAGAACGAGTGGCTTTCTGCATAACTTTGAGGGTCAGAACTTGTCTCATGATAATGTATCCCTTGGAAAAAGATGTTTATTCCTATTCCTGCGTTTAAATAATTTACAGGTATGTTGAATAGTAAATAATGAGCGTTGGAAGACCTATTTTGTGTACGCTTTCTGAACCTGTTACATAATCCTACTGTCTGTGACAACACTTGGTATCAAGTATCTGGAAAATTATGGCAAAATGGCCTTTCAGAAACCACCAATTACGATAAATCTAATTGAAGGTTTTTCTGGAATTCAGTTTTTGCTACTGAAGTGACAGTACATGGGCCAATTTAGGACTGCAGTTGTCTTTCCCGGGCAGCCTACCAAATGTGAATACAAATGAATGTCACCACATGCTTCTTGGGCTCCAGAATGAAGTCTGACAAGTGCGTGTTTTGTGCGCAGATGTTTGTCCATTCTAGATCTAGTGGGAGGTGCTTCTATGCTAATATCTCATCTCCAGCTGTGGTGAAAGCATAAGAACCAACATACTGGGCCTAAGCAGAGGAAATAGGTTAAGGAAATGTATTTGTTTGTTGCCTGTATCTCGGCTAGGTGAATTAGCTGACTTAGAATTCTGTTGCTGATGGGCTGTTTCTGAGACTAAAACTGGTTTATGTATCTGTGCGGTTCTGCAAAGGTAGATACGTCTTAGGCAGAACGTTGTTGTCTTAAGTGTTAACCATGAAACTGGAAGTTTCAGGCTATGTCAGCGAGAGACACCTGGAAAAGTTAAGGCAGACCAACAGGAAAAATGAGGCTGTGCATAAATTAAAGGGTATTAAACTCCTCTTGAATAAGAGCGTGTGCATGTAAAGTGGCCTTGGTTCGCTATAGATTAATTAACCTTGGGAGATATTAAGCTTAATTAAGCTACAGTGAGTTAAAGCCACTTTACTCTTGACAGAGATCATTCACAAGGGAGCTTAATTCACTTTTAATATGATGCACCACAACTTTGTATGGGTTTGCATTAACTTTTCTCAGTGCCCTTTGGTAAGCTTTGGAAACTTTGAAAAACGAGGGCTTCTTTAGCCTTAGAAACCTATTTCAAATTCTTAAGAGAAGCTTAAGAAACTGGACAGAGTGGGCTTGAGATAAATGAATAATGTGCATGGAGAAAATATGTGCTAAGCAAGTGTTGCAAGATAAACTCTGCAGGTAGGTTCAAGTCTTGGTTTGAAAAGCAAATAAAGGATATGAAATGGAGCATTAAAGCCTAAGAGGAAACAAAAGTGAAGTGCGCCTACTAAAATTCACGTGGTGAGAAGGTTCTGCCTGCAGAATTTGCAGTATTATCTTTACAAGTCTTGGACAACATTCATATTTGAGTTTATTTACAGAAAAGTGTTGTTGTGTGTTACCCTGATTGCAAGTTATCTTGCTAAATCAGATGAAAATATCTTCTTGTGCGTTTCTTTTTGTTTTCTTGTTTTTTTCAGTAATTGTCCTTCATTTTTGGCTGCTGCTTTAGCTAGAGCAACTTCGGATGAAGTCCTTCAGAGTGATCTTTCAGTGCACTACTTACCAAAGCATGTGGACAGTACAGATGGGATCATACGTGAGTACATCTGTGCATAGTAACATACAATTTTATGTGGTATGGATCTTTCATTTACACTGTATACCAGACAGTATGATATGTATATTTTGCAGATAATTCATAGATTTTAAGGTCAGTAGTGATTACAGAGATTCATCTAATCTGAGCAGTTGAATAGTACTATTTTTCCCCAAATTGGTTCCTACTACTAGCTAGTTATGAGGTTTGACTTGCTCCTTTTGTAAATGAATGTCCTGTTGTAATCTAAAAATATCATTGGAGAGTTCACCACTGCTCTAGATAGATCTAGTGGCTAATTTCTTTTGAAGTCAAAGCTTTCTCATTTTTGAATCTTAATTTGTTTAGTTTCAGCTTTTACCATTGAATTATTTTTTATTGTTGTTGTTATTTTTATTGCTTTTCTCTGGTTTTACTCAAGTCTTTTTATTGCGTTTTTGCTCCTTAAGACCAGATGGAAGTCACTCCTTACTTTTAAGTGCATCTCCATAAGGCCTAGGACTGTATCTGGTGACCCTTATTTCCTTTATAAGGACTTGAGACTATGTGGTCCTACTGCTTGCTGGCAGACACCAGTTGTCCTCCTTCATCCTTAGAGCAAAGCCAAATATAGGTAGAAGGAGAGAATTCTGAACTGTTTCAGTCAGAAGAGTTTTTATCAAGACTTTAAATGTTTTTAATAGTTTCGGTGAAGATAACATTATCCCATATAAAGATGTTTTTGTGCTTAAGAGGAAAATTTCTTCATTTATTTCTCTTGGCTAATAAGATTTTTCCATCATCCACCTCAAGGCCATGCATCCTAAATCGTTTCAGGATTCTGCTGACTAAACAGCCTTGAAAAACTTTATAGGATGCTCATTATGATGAAGAGCAATATTCATCACATCTATTTACAGGAATTCTGTCATTCCATCTGGAAAATACATAATCACCAAAGCATTGTGTACATGCCTTTTTTGATAAAAAGAGGTAAATGATTCTGGGGATAAGTAAGAGAGATAAATCTCGCTATTTAAAGAGGGAGATTCTGGTGTACTTCTAAGAGGCCTCTGCAAACCTGAGAGAAAGTAGAACGTGCTATGGGCTCTGTTTTTGTACGTACTGCTGCCTCCTTCTGCTGAGCAGGTAAATAGAATAGATTTGTCATTGTTCTGGCTGAGCAGCCTTCATTAATTTCAAATTGAGATCTTTGAGACTTGCATAAATATTTGACAGTCTCCAAGGAAATGTTGACTAAGCCTCCACACAGAATATTTAAAGAGTTCAAAAAAAAACCACAAAAAAACTTCAGAAATTTCCATTTAAATATTTTTAAATCTGTAGTACAAAGCAGCAAGCATAGATTGATATGTGTACAGGCTAAAGCAGGCACCAAAAATATGGAACTCCAGATGCAGTATGTAGAGATGACTTGTCATATAGAAAGTGCTTGAAGATAATATATACCTTTACAGATGCCGTGTAAGGCATTAAAATAGGAAAATAAAGGGAGAGAGGAAAATAGAGAATGTTTTCTGAACCATAGTAAAGCAGTGATTTTATATGAATGCTGCAACTTCACATAATATATATAATATAGCAGAAATCATAATTTTCCAAACAGAGCGTTAGCTCAAGAAGTACAAGATTTGGCAAATGAATGAGATTGACAGTTCCCTCCAGCTGATATTATATGGGGAGACTTTCATGCTTTGAAAGAAAGCAAAGGATACTGTAGCAGGTGATGGAACTGGGATTTCTATACCTTGAAATTTTGTGTTCAGAAAGCACTACTTATTCTAATGATTTTTGGACTGCTGTAGAGTGTGAAACCAAGTTGAATGTAGCCTGCTGGTTTGAGATCCAATTCTATGTCAGTCTTAGCAGTCCGGCAAGATTTTTACTCTGTATAATATAAGGAGACATTTAGCTGATTTGCCTCGAGTTTGAATTTGCTGGGTTTGGGGGGAGAACCTAAATTTCCTTTGTGACACATTTCATGCCGAGTAGTGCAACATGACGAATCATCTTGCATATTTATGACTGGTAAAAGAAGTTATTGGTGTGCTGACAGAAAGGAAAGTAGAAGCTTCATGAAAAAAGAACGCTAATCTTAAAGGAAAGAAAACTGCTTTGAGCCCACAAATGTAGGAATGGAAGAATATAGACTTGCCATATTCAGATCTGACCATGCATCTTTGGAAATCAAAAATCTGAGAAGTATAAGCCATGACTGATTCTTCTGTACCAGTTGAACTGGGGAGGAGTAAGAGAGCTTGAAAGAAAATGGACAGACTTTTGATTTCCTTTTGGAAAGGTCAGGTTACAAGTTAAGAGTGTTTAGTTTTCTTTTTGGTGGAGGAAGATGTTCACATGGGGGTTCAGCGTTGCTGAGGAATTTCCGAAAGAGGCTGGACTGTGTTACTTGCTGGAGGTATCTAAAATATCCAACAGACTTCACAAAGCAGATCCCAGAGTCTCATTACACAGTCTTTCCAGATACTAGGTGTTGTGGAATAACCAGAATACAATTTAGGTTCAGGGCAGAGCAGAAACGGGATTTCTGTAACCAAGACACAAAGAGGTTGTTGACTAGTCAGAAACTGGAGTTCTCAGACTAAGGAATATATTGGTCACTGTCTTGATGAAAATGTCTACAAACCTGAATTCTGATCTCTATTGTCACACTGCCCAAATTTTCAAGAGAGGTCTTAAATTTTACCAAGTACCAAGAAACAGAATCTGGTTACTGGTATCCTCCCTACACCAGTTTTGCTCTAGAAAAAGTCAACCATCTTTGGGAACAATAATGCCTAAGTTGGATTTCCCACTAGTTGTGGTATAATTAAGCACTGCTTCCAGTGCTGGGGATTTTAGAGCAGCATTGAAGGAACAGCAGGAGGGAAATGAAATTCTCCATGACACAACCACAATGACAGCTGAGTCAGCTCTGGCTCAGTGCTGCAGCATTAACGATTGATGAGTAATTTACAGCTGTGAGGGGGTGGTTTAACTGTTGTGGGCCTTTCTCCTGTTTTAATCTCGACCAACAATTATTGATGATGGTGACACTACGCATACTCCCTGCAGGGGAAGGTTATTTAGTATCTCAGCACAGCAAATGGGTTCAGTCCGTTCTTCCTTCAGAGTGACACTCTGAATTGTAACAGCCATATGACATGGAAATGTACGCCCTTGCCTTTTAAATATGCCCATTAGAAAAAATGGAGGAGGCAGCCTATGACATTCTCTTTTGGAAAATGTAATTTGGACATTTCAGGCTGTATGTTTTCCCTCTTTAAATATATTATTCAGCAAAGAGAAATCTGGGGGCACTAGTAATAGCAGCATAGGCCTGGCAGGAGAATTGGTTCACATCACTCTGGTGTTGGTTACATGACCCAATTATATGATTTCCAGCTATTGTTCTTAAAGCTATCTGATTGAGAAGCTAGGACTCCCTCTTTTGATTACGCATACACCTTACTTCCATGCTTAATGGCTGATCTTGCAGACCTGGCTTGAACCACTTATAATCAGCAGAGCTGGGGAATATTCCTGGGGATCTCGGCTTCCTGATCATTATAGCCTACATCTTGTGTAGATCTATTACTGAAACTAGTAAATGCCGATTATAGATTCTTCACGGAATTTCTGTCAACTGAAAGGAGTCCTCATCCTCCCCTCTGCTCCCTAGATTTGGGCCATTCCTCTTCCAGGAATGACTGACAATCAGGGATTGCTGTTGTTGGAAATTTCAACCTTTGGTTGATGATGGTGAAAAAAGAGATTTGGATGTGTTCAGTTCTCTGATGCTTACTTCATGTTTTTCTTCCCTGAACTTCAGAATGATTGTCAATGCCTGAGTTTTCACATTTTAAAATTATTGTTTTTCAGGCATGATAGTTCAGAATTTCCTTAAATTTAAGACCTCTATGGTTTCCTCATTTGCTCATGCAGATTTCTTTGACACTCAGTCTCTTCAGAAATCTGGAAATAATGGTATGAAACTTAGAAGGTACCTGAAAGTGTTTGCTCAGAATTACAGAATGGTTGAGGTTGGAAGGGCTACTGAACGTGTACACTGCTGAAACATCTTCAGGTTAATGCTATTAATTTTGGTAGCGTATTTGCCACTTTCTTCGTTTAGTTTTGCAGTGAGGTGTTTGTGGTGCGGTGGATAGATTGGTCTAAAAACAATACATCGTCGTAACAGGTCGTAGTTTCCCTGTGTGTTTTGTATGTAACACAATATTCCATGATGAAGTTCCTATCGGAGCCTTTGTGGTCTGGCTGCACCACCTTGCGTGGAGCTATACTAGGGATCAAACACTGAGGGTAACGTATTTGCTTTTCATTTTTTTCTGATGCTGGAAATGAGTTCCCCAAAGGCGCAGGGGAATACTTAAGTTAAAAAGACACACAAACAATGAGCTTCTCACTGATGAATGCTGTTTCTGGTGAGTTTGGCTTCCTCTTGTCCAAAATTTCCCTGCTGACATCCATCTCAGTTGCTTGGCTGAAATGGTTTTGTTTCATCTTTATAATGTATGCAAGAGAAAAATTCTCACTTAATAACACTCTCAGCCTTTTATTTGTGGTTTTTGTCTTCCCCAGAGATTGAGACAGTGAAGCTAGCCCGCTTAGTTTTCAGCAAACTCCATGAGATCTGCAGCAATTGGGTAAAAGACTTTCCACTCCAGCGGAAGCCCCACCGCTACTATGAGACATCCATCCATGCCATCAAAAATATGCGCAGGAAGATGGAAGACAAGCATGTCTGCATTCCAGACTTCAACATGCTCTTCAACCTTGAGGTAAAAAGAGACTGTATGGGAGGTGAATGCATAGGCTGAATACAGTGTCTGTTCTCAGGGGAACTAGGCTTTCTTCTGTGAAAACAACAGCCATACCTGTGATGGACCTGAGGAGGACTGACTGTCAGGAGACAAACCTGGACTTAAGTTAGTTCAGTTGATGTTCTCTAGCTATACGACATGTAACAATACGACATGCACTTCCTATGTAGGTTATATAGGATGAAAGAGCGATTTGCACAGATATCTGAAGATATGTCATCTAAATAAACAAAGTTGGTATCTGCCCCATCCTGATGTAGCCACTTAATGCAATGGCTGAAGAACTAACCTGCTATCCTACAGAAAACAGTCCTACCTTTGTGAGAGGCAACTGATGCATTATATTACCATGTGAAAGAGCAAGGTAGGATCCTCTGTGTGGCTGTAGATGCTCTGTGTGGCCCAGGTGTAGAAAGGAGTTGCCAATGGAAATAAGGAAGTGGTTCAGCTTATAGTTCATCATTGTTGCCATTTGTCTGCAGAGGTGTGTCTGTACTGCTTTTCTGCCCTTCTTCTTGGGAGGAAGAAGCCAAAAGCAAGAGTAAGGAAAGGAAGTAAAGAGGGGAGGGGGGGAAAAAAAAAAAAAGGATTCAGTTCACATGATTATCTAGCAGCGCTAGTAGTTTGGTGGAACTGGGGCCAGACTTAACTCCATTCATTTCTTTACGTGGCCATTGGTCAAACGCTCATGCTTGCTCTTTCTTCAGAGATGGACGCTGAGGAATGGCAAACAGAAGAAAAGGGCAAGAATGTTATCACTGGGATCAGATTACTGCATAATTGATTCTTTATTACATCTTGTCAGTTTAATAACCATTTTCTGTGCCCTATCCAAATTCTTGCCTTTAAACTACATTAATGCAAACAGAGGCAGATGTTTTCTTTGCCTGTCAATTGTCACCTCTTCATTCCAATTTGTGTTGGAGCCTATTACTTAAAAATTACAATGTATAAATATTCTAGTCATTGAGATGGCTGTCAAGGTTGAATTGGCACTGACAGTGGGTTGGTGTGTTATACGTATGAACAGGCACAGAAGTTATGTCTCTTGGTACTGGAACATTGTTTCTCTGTTTGAACAGATAAGGGGAAGCTGAGAAAATTGAATTGAAGATAAGTGATTCTGCTGTACTTGATTTGTGAATGTAATCACATTTTATTATCTGCTGAGAGGGTACACAGAGGTATTTTAACAATAGATATCTAAGGTGATATGGATTAGATTTTAAAAAAGAATGAAAGCAAAGGCTAGCTGGCTTCACATTTTAACTGTACTGGTATTTTATCACTAGGGGATTCCAGTCTTGATACAGACTTCACAACTGTGACGTCAAACTGTATTGGATGTCCTTCTCTTTCTGCATGATTTTTGCAGTCACAAACACTCCTGCGCAGTTTGATGGGAATGGCACTTCCTATTTGAGCTGAGTAATGGAACTGTAACAAATAGGACATAAGGATTATTGAGAGCGCTACACGGATGATTCTTGCAGGGCGTCTTTTGTAGTTTGCAGGTGGAGTTCATCAGCAGTAAGGTGAGAATTTGAGTGCACATCTCCCATTGATGCAAGTGAAGATGGTCTGAGTAGTTTGTTTCTCTAGTGGAGATTCTGCTTCTAAGTGCAGTTTAATGCTACCTGGTAAAAATCCACAGAGGACACCAGAAATCTCAAGTTCAACTTTTTAAGGATGATCCAATTAACTGCTTATATTGCTTTGTCCTTTAGTTGTTTTCTCAATGTGTTTCCTTTGACAGGACCAAGAAGAGCAAGCTTATTTTGCAGTATTTGATGGTCATGGCGGAGTGGACGCTGCCATCTATGCCTCCATCCATCTCCATGTGAACTTGGTCCATCAGGAGATGTTTCAGCATGACCCAGCAGAGGCGCTGTGCCGAGCCTTCCGGGTGACAGACGAGCGCTTCGTCCAGAAGGCAGCCAGAGAGGTGAATGAGTTATCTGGGAAAGAAGGGAAGTGGGCTTGACTCTGAAAGTATTAATTTAAAAATTCTGTTCATGAAAAAATAGAAATTGAGTGAACTTCATGCTATAGAGAGACACAGATCAAGGTTCCAACACATCAGGCTATCAGAACATGTCTTTGATCTGACAGAAATAATTAGAGTTCACTCTGATTTTCAGTCTGGTTCAACCACACACCTAGCTTCCTCAAACACTGAAGGCATGTTTTCTGCTGCCGTGGATAGATTTGGCAGTGAGAGTCCTAGTTTTACCCTTGGACCTCAGTGCAGGGGGGCAGTAGGGCACCAAACAAGGCAAGGTCTCATCAGTCTGAGGAGCTCAAAAGCTCCTCAATCAGATGGAGATCAGGGACCCAGAAAAGTGGTGCAAGGCACTCCTTACTCCCAGAAACACGTACTGAAGACAAAAATGTTGATGACTGAAAAAACACTTAATAGAATACGTGACAGCAGTAAATTGATTGTGGTATGCTGGACTAATGGAGGTGTGTAGCACCCAGCACTGTTGGGATAACAACCTTCTTGGTGTGTACATTAGCAAGGATGCACTAAGTGCCGTGCTGACTACAGGCCAGGGGTCAGTCTGGAGCCATCCCTGCACAGTTCACAGCGCAGGTGCCCACTGGTGGACTTGGTTAACGTTCCATGAAATGTCAGCCTGGCACTTCTTGCAGCATCTGATTCATTTAGAAGGAGAGGGTTGATGATGCTACTATTCTTATGTTCACGTGCTAACTAGGTTTAGTCCTTGTTTTCTTTTTTCTTTTTTTTTTCCCCTCTCTATAACATAAATCTTTTTAAGCTCCAGAAAGCAAGAGTAAATGGCTAACTGCCTCTTAGGCCTCCTAAACCTATGCAAGGGCTGAGCAAGTGTTGGCAACTCAAGATGCTTACAAATAAATCTCCCACCAAGATCGTTAACGCTTATGCATTTTTATCAACAAATAGGACACAGGTATAGAAAATCAATTAAAACAGTAGTACAACAGTTCACTAGCAGAGCCCAGCATCTGAAAATGCGATCCCAAGTCAGGGGAAATTACAGGACAAAATCAACGACTTGTATTTAGTGAGGTTAGCTTTGAGGGGCTGTTACTGAACAGTTTTAAGAAAAATGCTGCCTGTCTGTCTCCTGGAACAGCCTGCGTATTCGAATGTCAGCATGTTCTGACCTTGAGTTAAGTAGGGAAATGCTTTGGACCAGTTATTTGCTTATTTAAAACTGTAGGTGTTTTCCTTCTCCCCATCCAGAGTCTGCGTTGTGGAACCACTGGGGTGGTGACTTTCATCCGAGGAAATATGTTACATGTGGCTTGGCTTGGGGATTCCCAGGTTATGCTTGTGAGGAGAGGCCAAGCTGTGGAACTGATGAAACCCCACAAACCAGATAGAGAGGTGAGAATGGCCTGTTTTAAATACACTCGGGTAGTGTTTACCATCAGCGTTATACGGGGTTCTTGGACATTGAGTGCTGCCTTGCCCATGTCTCTTGGAGTGGCTGAGCATGCTCTGGCTACTCTGGTTGGTTCAGATCTAAGTATGAATTTGTGTGCAAATGTTTTGTTCTCATTTGATGGGGCTTGCAAGCTCCATGATGCTGTGTCTGTGAAAATACCAAATATTTTATTTTAAGTGTGCGGAGTGTCATGGCGGCACTAAACATTCTGTCCAAACAACTCTTGTGTTGCCTTGCTGTTCAGGATGAGAAGAAGCGCATTGAGGCACTTGGTGGCTGTGTGGTCTGGTTTGGAGCCTGGAGGGTGAATGGGAGCCTGTCGGTCTCCAGAGCTATCGGTAAGAGTGGATTTTAATTCCTTTCTCACCCTTGTTTTTCCTTTTAATTGAAACCTTCACTTTCTACTGATCAAAATTTGAAATACAGCTGAAGATGGAACTGTGAACAATGACCTCTATCTTTTTGCTACAGTTTGAGGGGCTGCTCCAAATAATTTACTTACTTTGGGGAAGAGGCTCCATGCTGTATTAACAAAAGGGCTCCCAGATGCTGCAACCGCAAACCCAAAGCCTTGTATATCTCTCTGTTCTGTTTTTCCCAGGGGATGCTGAGCACAAGCCATATATCTGTGGGGATGCAGACTCTGCCTCCACTGTACTAGATGGCTCTGAAGACTACCTCATTTTAGCCTGTGATGGCTTCTATGACACAGTCAATCCCGATGAGGCAGTGAAAGTGGTGGCTGACCATTTAAAGGAGAACAATGGGGACAGCAGCATGGTAGCACATAAATTAGTGGCATCTGCTCGGGATGCTGGTTCCAGCGACAACATTACTGTCATTGTGGTATTTCTCAGGGACATGAATGCAGCAGTCAATGTTAGTGAGGAATCGGACTGGACAGAGAATTCTTTTCAAGGTGGGCAAGAAGACGGTGGGGAAGATAAGGAAAACCACGGAGACTGCAAACGACCGTGGCCCCAACACCAGTGCTCAGCACCTGCAGATCTAGGGTATGAAGGACGAGTGGATTCCTTTACTGATAGAACTAGCTTAAGTATAGGGTCCAGTATTAACCTGTTTGATGATCAAGGCTATTTAGACCTGACAAACACAGAAACAATTGAACCTAAGAGTGCCAAATATTTGCCACCAATTCAAGTGTTTAGTCCTGGCATACCAAAGAGTGAGAATTTGATTAATGGTTTAACAGTGAAGAACAAATCACCGGAGAGCACCACATCATCAGTCTATGGACAAAGTGACCCCAGGGCGTCCATCGCTCTTCCTAGTTTGGGTTCTGCAAGGCAAAACATCTACAGGGTGGAGGGCTTCTCCCCCGTCTTTTTGGGGCTGGAAGATGAACAGTTCAAATCCTTGGGGAAACGAGCTTCTGCATTCTCTCACTTGCGTTTCTGTAACGGGAAGAGGCGAAGAGGAGCCAGGTTCAAACCAAAGTTTCACACGCCGCTCTTGGCTCATGAGCCTTCCCGTATAGAAGGATCAAGTCTGTCCTTCCCTGTCCGAGGCCGCAGTAACACGAGGTTGTTGGTAAGACGCTCCCTGTGGTGGAGGCTGGCTAGTCATAAAGCTTACAGTGAGAGCATGTTTTTGATGCAAATACAAAGTAATTGTATACCAGACTCATCCCTTCATCAATGCTGTAAAATGTAACTGTCTCCCTTGTGTTCCCCCTTAGATACCTAAAACAGACATTCCCAAAATAAAACTGGCATCATCAGAAAGTGAAAAAGGGTGGGCATTTCAGAACTGCGTGTATTACAATCCTCTGCAAAGCTCAAATCATGTGTAAATAGATCTAGGAATTAACAAATGTAGTTGTTTCAATCTCAATAAAATGTGCTGGTGGTGCCACCCTAAGCAATGCCACAGCCACCCAACCACCTGCACACATAAGTATCTAGTCACATTCACTAGTGAAAGCTGACTAGTTGTTCACGTGAATAGACACCATTAGGGACCGTCTTTAAAAATGCAGGAAGTTGAATCTGCCTGAGTCTATGGAGCAATATCTAAAGAAAGATTCTGTTTTAGAACTGCCAAATTTTTTAGAGTGGGGGGAAGTTTCCATAGAAGTCCAGGTTGTGGTTTTTTTGTTTTGTTTTACTTTCAATTTATTTCAGGCTAATACTAAGATGAATTAGAAAATTACATCCACTTTGCAGGTAAAAGACTAAAAGCCATACAGGATTTTACCAGGTAACTTAGGAACGGACAAACTAAGCTCCTGTTACTCTGTTCTCAGACTCTGATTGAGGTACATACTCATAATTTACTTATTTTTTCATGTAACATAAAACGTGGAATATGAAGAAAACTTTTTTGTAGTTTAAAAAAAAAATTCCTATGGCTAGAGGTGCAGTGTACAGGGATTTCGTATCTCTCTGGTGCTTTTAGTGGCATTTTTCTTGTTTGTCAGTTTAAAAAAAACTGTTTTCAGTTAGTTTTAATCTAACATGATTGTGCTTAATGCTTTGAGCCAACCTCTTTCCACCGTAACTTCATCTCAGGTCTTTAAAGAAACCAAGTCTGTGGAGATGTTCAGTACACTACTACTGTCACTCAGCCAGTTAAACCAGAGAACTGCTTGCTAGGAATAATGAGCAATTTGTTTTAGGTGAGGATTTTTAGGTGGCAAAAGTGTAATTTAATATAAAGTCGTAGTGTCAAGGAAGGTAAGATGCTGCCTCTGTAGTAGCATTATTGCTGCAAGTTGGTATGTTCTAGAATGTCTAAAAATGGATGCAAGGCTGCTAGAGCAATCCAAAGTGAATGGGAATGCCATGGATGCAGACGAGTAGGAGATGTGCTTGGGGTTTAGTGGAGATGGTAAAATTCACTGACAATCCAGAGCTCTGCTTCAGTTAAACTTGTATTCATAAAGAAAAGTGAGGAATGTCAGCTGCCCTGTATTTTGACAAGCAGAGTGGTATTTAACAAACAAAACCAGGCACACACAGTACCTGCCAGCTTTTCCCCGCCTTTGAGGTGATGTTAACTTCTTAAAGGAGCAGTAAATTAGGACATAAGTAAGCAGACTATTCCCATCAGATGACAGACCAGTCAGCTCCACTAAATACACATCCTGTTACTAATATTTGTTACAATAAGGCATTTGGAAGAATATGAATAAGATAATTCTTCACAGGCATTTATTGTACCATTCATATCATTTTAGCAGTAACCATTTATTATCAGTATTAGTATGTAGCTAGAATTTGCAAGTATTTTAAGTAGTCAGAAGATTATTCAACATGAGTGATGGCAAGCTTTGAATTCTGCCAATTTCTGCTTCTTCTAATCTTTGATGCACTATTTTAAAAGCAATTTGATGAACAGCAAAAGGCTTTGTGAGTAACCAGGAGTTGAAATGTGGCTTTAGATTCCTTTGATCTTTTTGAGACCTTTTTTTTTTTTTTTTTTTAAATCTTTTGGGATCATTGGCTCTTACCTGTCATCTTATTAAGCCTTAGCTGTTGTCAACACTCTCTTTAGATGCAGCATATGTTCCAAGCCAGATTTACTAAGGAAATTTGAGGAATCATGAAACAATAAAATATGCAACTATGGGGCATCTCTGTGGTGCCTTTATTTTAAATTATTCACAGTAATAATGATGCATTGAAAGTCCATCTTCTAGTTGACAGTCATGCTTCTGAAAGAAAGGTGGTGTAAGTGCAATTCTTTGTATGAGTAAATAAGAATGAAAAATGTGATGGATGATAAACTTCTTCCCAGTCTGCAGGAGTAGTTGAAGAGCACTGGACTGCATGTATGTGTGCTGCTTTGGGAAGGATATAGCTTTTTAGGTGTGGATTCATAAATGATAATTCTGCTGCTCATAACATTTATCTTGCTAGGAGAAAAATTTACCATCGTAGTTCCAGTGTGGTCAGGTAAAATATTGTATAGATAGCAAGTGTTCATTTCTTCACTAAATGCATATTTATAGAGTAGATAGGAACCATTTGTAAGGTAAGTAAGTCCTTTAAAAGTTCTATACTATTAAAAGTAGTGGTTATTGGTCTGATATATGCTGCTCTTGATTCTACACACTAGACAAAAAAGCAGTGCTTTGTGAAATGCAGTGTTTTCTCTTAATGCCACTGGTGATAGGAAGTAGTTCTCTTCAGTTCAAAATCCTGTGCCCTTATTTGCTGCTTGCTAACGTAAGCAATAATACCCCCTCTGATGGTATCTAAATGTTCTGTATCTTGTACTTTGATTGTCTATCTGGTGACAATGTAAAAATACTAGGCTAATATAAAAGTATCTAATTGTATTTATTAATTGTTGATACTGAGATTCAGTCTGTGACCTGTGTTTTGTATTTTTATTGTGTATCTTAGTGGTGGTGAAATTTGTATAACAAATATTTCCAATAAAGAGCTGAAGTATCCCTTTTTCAAGTTAACACAATCTGCATCAGTTTCAGTTTACATGTTAAACGTGTTTGCAGAACTAGGAGGTAGGTAGTGAAAACTTTTTTTTTTTTTTTAATTGTGTTGGTTTTGAGAAATGGACTTCAGGCTGTTTGTCTGAAGCTGCTCAAAACTTGCTTTTAAGCTATTCACTGTGAGTAGTAGAGGGATTCATTCAATCCCCACTCTAATAGTTTCCTGTGTACACTTTTTAAATGTGCAACTCTGAGGAATGTCTGCCTTGCAGAGAGCAGTATAGCACCAGACCAGGGAGCTGTTAACCCATTTCGATTTGCACTAAAGGTGGGTGGAAATGCATGTATATACACATTTTCTTTACCTACAAGTGCCATCAATTAATTGTCCTTGCAAGTTAAAAATCATTCAGTATTTAATTTAGATTGCATTGTAACACTGAAGGACAATGCCTAAGCAGACTTTAACTTATGCCACATTTATAGTGGCACATTGTCATAGAAACTCCACCTGGTTTTTGGAACACTGTGTGTCAGTGAGAAATGCATTGTCCTACGGGCAGAGAGGACGAGGCATAAAGAGTTCCGCGGTTATAGACATGACTGCTGTAGTTCAGGTCCACTATCTTTTCACTAAACACACCCTACCCTGGCAATGTTCTGCTTTTAAAAAAAAAAAAAAAAAAAAAAAAAAAGAGAGAGAGAGAGAAAGATTGATCTAAATTAGTGGCTGTTTTAGCATAATTTATTCACTCAGCACTAGTCACACAGACAAAGCCATTGAAGGGGGGATACTGCAGCTTTGTTCATGCCTATAATTTAGGGCAATCTTTCTTTAATTCATATCCTCTTTGCAACAGGAACAAAACTTTCTACCCTTGTATCATGTGCAATAAGTAATAACGAAGCATAACGCAACCTCTGACTTAAATGTTCACGTCCTTTTCCCGTCACTGTTAATCAGATGGTCGCACTATACTTGCCAGCATTAAAACTAAAGAAAGAAAACTCCCACCTATGAGGTTTTAGTACAACTCTTGTATGTCATAATTGCATTTTGTTAGGCTGTTGTGTAGAATACAGGAGAGGAAAAAGAAAGATATTTTGAAACAAGAATAGCAAAAGTTGGCTGAGATGATCCTGAGTACTTCTACTCCGAAATGAGTACTTCTGTGGATAGCCAGGTGCGTTGTCGGTTGCTACACTGGGTGCTCCTGTTAAAATATCTGTGTTATCTTGTTCACGAAACTAATGTTCTTTATGAAGTGAATAAATTAAGCTAATCACTTAACAGTATTGGGACTCTTCCATTTGCAACCTCGTTCTACAGTTCACCTATGACTTCAGTTATGATTATGTATTAGTCATCCATATTTTATTTATGAAAGCTGTTTATACAGAAAAACTGTTGAAGTTTTACCAATATCTTAATAAAAACAGTAATTTAAAACATTTCAGATGTTGGTTGCTATCATTTTTAGCTTATAAATAACCAGAATATCTGTATTAAGTGTCTTTACTGTGGTGAAAGCAGATTTCCTCTGCTTGAGATAGAACAGAAAATATGACTCTTTGGCATGGAGTTGTAAGATACCGGTGTACTTGCTGGTAACTTCTTCAGTATAGCTGGGGGAATAAAAAGGCCCACTGCAGCCCTTTATGATCTACTTTACAGTCAGAAAAGGAACTTGCTGCTATGGCTTCGTCAGTTTAGGACCAGTTTCAGTGTAAATTAGTTATGTAAATTAGGCTTCCAAGCCTGTTTACCTACAGCTTGTTTAACAAAAATTGCAGTGTATAATTTCTTCATAAGGCAAGCAAAGTATGATGTTACCTGCTCTTCTTGTCGCTGCAAAGGTCAGACACTAAACCCAGAGTAGGAAATGTGGCTAATTAAAATAATTTCCTTCAGCTTGGGCCTCAGATTAAGAGTAAAGCAGCTGCAAGCACCAAAGAGGCAGGTCTCTGATTACTGCTAATTGAGCTGTGTATAATAATCAACATGCAGTCCTGTAAAACAGTAAACACTATCAGTATTCAGTACCATAGTGTGCAGCTTGCCATAAACTGTCCTCAGTACTCATCAGTTGGAACAATTTGTGTGCAAGCCAGATTAGACTTGCATCTTATTCCTTTAGGCCAAGAAATACAGAAATATTTGTCACATAAAGAACCAATTTACAGGTAGAAGTTGGGGATCCTATCTGAATGCACACTAAGGCAATGTATGTCTGGCAGGAGAAAACTCTTCTCATAAGCAGCCAGGCATTACAGCAATTTAGCACTAAAGACTGATCAAGCTTGTAGTAGCGTATTACCTACCCAAACAGGCATTCTCTAGCATGTTACTCATTTACACATGAATGTCTCAAGTTTTACACCAGCTTTCACCATACATTTTATTAACAAAGTGCAAACAGTTTTAAACTATGAGTTGTACAGCACTTACTTACACTGTGGAACATTCATACAAAAATGAACTTCTTAAGTACAGTCAGCTGAGACAAGGACAACTATCAGTTACACTTATTCATGCTTTTTCAATAACCAGCTATTCAGCTTTCATCATAGCTTCACAAGTAGTTTAGCAGCTCAAAACACAATGCACAGTGGCAAAAAGTTTGGCAATGTGTGCAGTTGGTCCATGTTACAGACTGAGAAAAACAACTTTCATGCCAATTACTTTACCCCAACTTTCAAATCATTGTATCTGTGGGATTCAGCAGTCTTACACAATCAGCTCATAGCATTAAAAAGGAGGACATTCACACGTTCTCTGCTATTCTCATGACATAATAAGACAAACATCTTGAAATAGGGCTGCAGCACCTTTTGGACATTTTTTCAGAGCATGTGCCTCTGAATCTGGCAGAGCCAGTAGGAATGCAGCCTTTGCTATAATGCTTTCAAAGGTCACTTTGCCCTAGTAACAGGTTTAAGATGACTGTAGCAGTACTGCACAATGGTCCTTGACAGAATGGAGCGTGCATGCAACCAAAAACAGCGGCCTTGGACTAAGCTCCAACGAACAATGTGCCTCTTCCCAGGAACACAAGCCGGCCAGTCTTCAGGCACCAAGCCAGTTCTCTATCTGGTCCAAAGAAAGTCAGCTTTCATTGAAAACTCTCACAGTAGGACAGTTTTATGACTTCAAGCAGATATAAACCCTAACATTTAAAATTTTAGGCCAGCTAAAGCCAATCAGGAGTTTTCTATTAACGATTACACGAACATGCAAGCCTCATCCAGCCTTTCTTCAGCAATGTGTAATTTCTAGAAGTGCCTTAAAAATTCAGAAAATTCACTGGTCTTGAAGATGCACATTAGCCACAAAGTAGTAGACCAGGCACTCACCTGTCTCTGCCACAAGTCACCTGGTGAGATTGCTGCCAATTAGACTGTACAAACATCTATCTGTCTACTCTCAGTACGGTAAATGGTTCCTTTAATACCTTCAACTCAAGGAGCAGTAAAGGAAATTTGCGTCTCTGGGGTTACAGTCATCTCAGAAGCTAGCTAAGACAAACATTTAAAATTACCTGGTGCTGTCTTCTCCAGTAACAAAGCTGAGATCATCAGAACCTGCTTGATCGCCCTCTGGAAATACTGCGCACCGCTCTAAGGCTGAAAAAACAAACAAAAAACCCAATAATCTTTACCAGGTGAACCTCCAAAACGGAGCAAGTTTGAGTTGTTAGGCCATCCTGCTGACGCAGCGTGGGACAGTTATTCAGGCCAAAAGTTAACTTCATCAAGCATCAGCTGTCACCTTGTCTCACCAAGTTTTTAACTTGATCAGAAGGTTAAACCTTTTCAAATGAAACGTTAAATGAGTTTTTAAAATTAAACTGAAGTGCTCAAAGCACATTCCTGTCAATTAAGATGCAAGTTCATTTCTAAGGCAGTGGTTACCTCCCTAAAGTTAGCCTACTTACAGTGCAGATTCTGGTACACAGGGAGTTCCAATTCAGAAGAACAAGAGCTATGGGTTTTCCAACATCTCCTCTGGGAGACTATCCTAAACTGACTTCTCAAGGCTAGAAAGCGTTCCCTCTCGTGTTTTGATCTACTTTTAATCAGAAACCCAAGAGAACAGTTCCAAAGCTCATTGGCTCTTGGTTGAGTTTTAATATCCGTATAGCATCACTAGTAATCTTGGCCTTGGCAATAGTCTATATTCATGAGAGCAATGAGGCAAGCCTGAAGCGTTTGGAGAGATGTGCTCACACAGTCAATTCTACCTTCACTTGAGGACTGGACAGAAAAGGCATGGTTAAACCCCTCTGAGGTGGAGGTGGCATCCTCCTGCTCTTCATTTTCTGTGTCACATTCAATGTCACTATCACTGCTCATTCCTGGTAGGAGATGAAGGACATGCTTCTGACATATCCCAGCTGCAAAAAAAAAAACCCAAAACAACAACACAAAACAAAAAAACATAGAGCAAAAACTTGTGGCAGTGAGTCCGGTGTAGCTCAAGTGTTCAACTTTTTCCACACTTAAGAGTTACCAATATCAATTACCAAAAGCTGGCAGGAGAACAAGAGAGAAAGAGCACATTCAGAGCTAAATGTATTTACCAAAGCACTAAGGAATTTGACAGAACATTCAGTCTAATTTTGCTATGCAGCTTAGCTCAAGAGAAGTAGTTCCAACTACGCTGAGTGTGAACTTGGGAATCTGCAGATTCTTCCTGTTTCAGCTACACTCCTCGGCCAGCCACTCAGCCTACCTCTACAAGTAGGGCAGAAAAAGTTAAAGGAGTGCTTGTGAAATGGATGATGTGACCCTTTAAGCAGATGTACTTACCAGATCCTTCAAGCTGCAATTTTCTGTTAAGTCTTATACTTAAAACAGAACTTGCTTTTCCTACAAGTAATTATAGCTGCAGTGAATCAAGGTAGCTTCTTTTGCTTTGTCAGAACTCAAGTATGCATTGACACCAGTCAAAAATTCACCCATTTGTAGTTCTGTGAGTGACTGAAGGGATTTGCTCTGTTCTTTTATTTTCCTAAAAGGTGACAGTCATTGCCGAAAGAAAGCAAGTGGCTAAGTGAGATGCCAACTCTACTACAGTTTTTCTTCCCTGAAAGGAAAATAATTGTAATATTTGTTTCCTGGGTTTTTTAACAATGAAGTATTTTAGTTTTTAAAACACTTTCCTATTAGACACTCTGCTCTAACAGGAGAGCTGCAGGAGCACATCACGATCACGCTGCAGTGACTAAGAGCAGAAATTCAGTTTTGTCACTGAGAGACCTTCTGTAAATGCCAACTCCTACACAATATTGCACACTGCAGATAGAGATGGATGCTGGCACCTTAATATAGGCTTTGCGCCACAATTCAGTCATTGAAATTCAAATTAGTGCAGGGGTGGAAGGCAGGAGAGTTTTAGCAAGATAAGAAAAACTCTTCTACGTGGACTTTCAAAAAGAAAAGGAATAATATTTTTTTCCAGCCTGCAAAGGATGCAGGAAGGGAGGGGGGGAAGTTTTCTCCAAGTCTCTAAGGAAAGTGGCTTACATACCACAAAACCTGATGCAAGAGAGACAGTAGAGAGATTCTAGTGCAGGAGTGGAGGTAGTTACCACTGCAGTTTGTCCCTGAAGGCAGAAGGCTTAAGAAAAGCCAAGGTCACTGACTATTATTTTAATTAGATAATTTATTATTTTTAATGCCACACTACTGAACAGTAAAGCAAAGATGTGAAGTCTTATCAGAGGCAGAAAAAGCAACTAGCAGTCCAAAGAAAGAGATGGCCTCCTACAACATTATCTGCTAGGTCTTCAGATTCCTACTATACCATAACATCACTATTTCTCCACAGATATCAGTGGGACAGAGAGCTTGCCTCCTCATTATACTACAGCTGCTAAGCGCTACAACAAAGTTCAACAGCCACGGAAACAATTTTTTTTCCCCCCTTCCCCTCCAAGCTATTTCCATTACAGAAAGGGATGATCATAGCCTGAAGTGCTGTAAACTGCATTTACCATGTACAATGTTTTATTTACCTTCTTCTGCCGCAGCTGAAGCACCTTCAGAAAGCATGCCCTGTAGTTCACCAGTTTCCAAGTTGTTCTCCAGATCAGCTGACTGCGTTTCTTCTGTATGACGTCCTTTAGAATTTGATCTTAAAAAATTTAGGAGACATACAGAAAGGCTTATTAGCGATGTGGCTTTAATACAGTTATGGAGATGACTCCTTCTAGTGCCATATCTAATTTCACTCATTTTAAGCCTCTTGCATGTCCATTTAAAATCCAACTGTTATTAATTTAGAAAAAAAATTAAGATCTTCAAAAATAAGCCTGGAAAAGTTTATGATGATTATTTTTCAAAGATGGTGAGTCTTGCTCATTCGGGGGGGGGGGGGGGGGGGGGGGAAGCCACGAGAACTCCATTTCTTTTTAGCTGCCTCTTGGCTAAACTATTTCAAAGTCATTATGAAATGAATGAAAAGTGGAGCCACAGTGAAAAATACTCTCTTAAGGAGGAAATCAAGAGTCATAACCTTTTTTTAAGAGGATATTTTGAAAGGAATAGCAGCAAAACAGGCAAAGGCTGCCTTTCAAATCAAAGTGGCAAACTATATCCAGCTGCGATCAAACAAACAAACACACACACACACCATAAAGGACTCATAACCTAGCTATAAAGCCAAAAATTGATATCCAGAAGGAACAGCAACCAAATAAACTTCAAAGTCATTCCTCTTCCTTGCTGCAAGCACCTGGCTTTAGTAGCTTCGTTATTTTCTTTCTAGATCAAGGGAACCAGGAGAGGAGAGAGGAAGAACAAAAAAGCCAAACCAAAACACCCTCCAAATCCTTACCCCAGTGCTCCAGCTTTTCTGGTCTTCTCTAGAGCAGCTAAGCCATTTAAGCCAGAAGTTCCCATATCAGAATCCAAACCTTCACAAGGTCTTTCCTCGGGCTTCGGCAGTGCTTCAGAAACATTACTGCCAGTCAGGGGCCTAGGAGAGTTATGTCTGCTGCTCGACTTGGAACTTCCTATGCCACCTGAGAAGATGGGAAGAGCAGCTCAAAGCACATTCAGTTTTATTTTATACACTAAACATCCACTTGTTTTATCACCAGTTAAGTTCCAAGTACATGTATGCACAAGCACACCTGCCCCACCTCACTCTTAAACCCTTACATTAAGTCACTGTCTGAGCAACGTATATCATTTTATATATGCTCCTAAACACACACACAGTCTCAGTAGCATATTGTGACAATTATGACACCCAATAACTTCTCTGAGCACTTAAATTTAGAGGGGCAAAAATACCTAATGCAGGAATTGGTATTAACTTTGCTACCACTCAAGGAAGTGCAGGAAACTCGGGAGCAGCAACACCAAACAATTCTTTTATCACACGTATCGGTTTTCTTGAATTCCCTTTAAGCCAAACCACAATTTAAGCCTGGGTCAGTACACTGTATCTGTCCCTTATACCATAAAGGTAGCTCCTGAAACATCTTTATTAAGAACAGAGGTGACATACAACACATACTTTTATGTTCTACTGGTAAGTCTACTGTGCGGCACTGTTCTACAGCTGATCAGCTATCAACACTCACTATACTTGAGAAAGGTCCCAGTCAAGTTTCAGTGAAACTTCAGTCTGTTGCCAAGTAAAGGACTTCCTGAAAAGCTTTGTGCAGATAGCAAGATGCATCACATCACAGACACAAAAACGACCTTGTTTACCTTCAGAAGTTTGACCATCTCCCTTTGAACGAAGATTACCATCCCCACAGTCCATAGCTCTTCGCAGAGACAGACTACCTGCTGCTCCAGATCGAATAGGTTTAGGTGAATTACTTTTCTTACTTGCAGCTGCAAAAATATTTTAAGATGTGACAAGTGTTCAAACTGCTGCAGCACTTTGTCTTCATGCTTGTTTTAAGTGAGGTTAAGCTATATGAGCTACTAATTCAGTGTCTAAAAGAGAAAAAGTCTCATTTAACACTAACTCCCAATCCTGCACAAAACTCCGTCCACATCCTTCCCATCAAAGATGCAGGCTAGAGAAAAGGAGCTTAGCTAATAAGGATTGCTGTCAAGATTACACAAGTAATATACACCTGTCGTACAGTAAGAGATCCTTCAGGAAGCCATCATCCAGATAGCTTCAGCCATAGTTACGCATGGCTTTCAGGCACAAGGTAGGAGACTTTTGAATAACTGTCCACTCGAGCTGACTACACCTCTTCATACGCCAGCATGAAAGTATAAAGGCTAAGGATATTCAAAACCATCCCTCAGCTCTTAAATTCAAAGTCCAATGTAACAGAGAACTTTGAAAAGCAAGGGTGGAAGGCATGAGACTCGCACTGCTTAGAGCTTCCCAAACTAACCATTGACTGAGCAGTGTGGATCCTGCTACCAAAACTCATCTGGATAGAGGAATGGAGAAATGGTAATTGGAATACCAAAACAGTTAAGTTCTGCTGTCACCCCACTCCATAAAGTTGGCAGATCTAGGCTGCCACGTGAGTCAGAAGATAGCGCCTGTTTTACAGGACACCACTATCTGTTCCTCTAGTTCCGGTGCAGACTGAAGAAGCTGCCCAATGCCTTAGTAACCTTCACAGGATGAGGGATTTATCCACACAACACAAAAACTAGCGCTTCCAATGAAGTGGCTTGATCCTTCCTGGTTTATTGATGGCACCGTTCAAGGCTCCAAATTTTAAACATGCAATTATGTGTCCTCTAAATGTGCATCACCTGAGCAGAAATTCTCTCTGTTTTATAAAGGGGATGAAAAGCAAAGTAGGCCTTTGCTGGAGTTGCAAAAACCTTGTTTTGGAGGTGCATATTGAAGAGGATGCAGAGGAAGAAAAAACTACTCTATCAGTTCTTCAGTCCACAACAGATTTCCTACTCATCTTGGCTCCAAAAAGGCAAGCAATAACTCAAATCAAAACAGAGAAGGCTGGAGAAGCATCTCCCCAGGCAACAGGGAAGTGAGGGAAGACTGACAATCATTTGTGCCTCTATTCAGGAGCATAAGCAACAAAGGGCACCTACACAAGCTTGAGACTGGTATTCAAAAGATTCCACACTGGCTTACCAGTTCTGCTACCGGGACTCTAAGTGATAGTGTCTGAAGAGACTGAGACATCGGCATTGCTTTGAAAGAAGTCACCTTTCACTAGGCAAAGTCTGTCCAATGAGAACCTTGGCTTGCTCAAATTTTAGCAAGATTTCAATTTACTAAAATCTAGTAAGTCTGGAATTCTTTAATTTTGTTCACAGCAACCATCATTAAACCTCACAGATGAGCCGCATCTAGAGTGGCAGTCAACAAGAAATGACCTTCAGCTAGGATCAGTTTGATTCTGGATTAAACTTAGCAGGCTTCAAAACATTCTCACTGCATTAGGCATGCTACTGATTGTGGAGCAAAAGTTGTGGTGCTTTTGCTGGAAAAGGCTGAAATCAGTTTCAAAAAACATCTACTTATTCAAAGGTAGTGCAGGTTTTTAGATTTCTGGATTCTTACAACGGAATTTGAATATGAGCAACGAGGTCTATTTCCAGAGGCCTAGATATATAGATGTCAGTTGTATAAATGGCTTATAAGAGAGACATTTAAATCTCCCCTTCTCTACACACTTACGATTCCTTATGTAACAACTCGTAACTGAAGACTTTGTCAGTAGTTCCATTCCTATTTCTTGTAACTTGCTGCAGCTTTCTGTTCCACAGGCAGCTAGAGCACCCTGATCAACAGAGAAGAAGCTGGGTTGTCCATCACACGTGCCAGCATTATTGCTGCTTCTTACTTCTGACAGTTGGTTTTTTACATCAGACATTTTGCTTCGAACTTCAGCCACCTGAGTTTTCAGTCTCTTCAGCATCTTCAAGTCAGGAGGCACACGCCACATTGCCTGGTGTCTCCGCTGATCTCGATCTTTCAGAGAATAGGATGATGCTTTACCAAAGGAAAAGTTAAAGAACACAGCAACTAAGTAAAATTGATCTCAACTAAAACTTCACACCTATTTTTAACAGATAAATTGTAAGACAATTCTATCTTTTGCCCTGTTAGGGGCAAAATGAGGGATAGGGACACATTTCGCTGTACTAGTGTGGCACCACAATATTTAGGTTGCAAGTACTGCAGAGCCACCAAAACAGCAGATTTCCATTCTCTGCCTACTGTGGGAGGAGGGCCCCAAACTTGCTCTTTGGAAGAAGCAAGACTTCGGATACTATTGCATCAATTCTGATGATAACTGAGTTATTCTATCCCGCTAGACAAGCTTAGGTTCACAAGCCTGGTCACTAGTTAAATATAAGTTTTTATAAATTCCTCATATAGCAAACACTTCACGTTAACATAGAACTCAAAGAAATCTGAAGCTAGGGAAGGAATTCCCTTGAGTACCTAACACCAGAAGATTAGATCAAAGAGTTAATACCTGGGTAAGCCTATGTGCTGCTTAGCAAGTAGAAGATCAACTTTGATATCTGTTTCAAGTGCTTTAGATTCTATAAATGCTTTACTGCAAATTCAGCTGGTTCAGAGCTGTAAATCCAAGTGGCTCTTAGAAACCTTTTCACCTTAGGAGATGAAGTTTGGCAAACTCCAAATATAACAGAAGCTTTCTCTTAGTTGGATGAATAAGCTCTGGGAACAGCCAAATCTTAAGAGGAGCTCAGCAAAAGAGCTAATTTCAACTGTGTAGACAGTAGCTAAAGATGACCAGGAACCCACTCAGCACACCAGTAAGCTTAATCTTGCTTGGGTAGCACAGCCCAAAATGCAATGCTCTCTCTCAAGGTCCTTTCATCTAAGCTTTTCCCAAGCAAAGTGCAGCTGAGACCTACAGTTCACATGCTGCTTCCCCCTTCTTACAGAACTGACCTCCATTTTTGGAAAGACGCATTATACATAGTTAAAAATTATCTGACTGTGCAATCTACCTGACTATTGCTGAAACTCTATTTATGTGACTAAGTTTAAAGAAAATCACAGGGGAAACAAATAGTTTGAGCTTTCAGACTACAATAATGCCAGTGTCATTGCTGTAGCAAGAGAAAGCATTTATCTGCAGCATATAGACTCTTATCTCTCTTCTGATCTTTAAGTCACCGAATAGCTGTTTCGGAATGAGCTGAAATAGGCTGTTGTGGTAGTTGGCCAATCAACTCCAAACGAATATTAACCATGATAAATGTATTACTGACGTTTGATTTAATTTTAATTCTTCACTAACAAAACAAGAGAAACACGTGACCTTCAGTAACAATCATGGGTGCCACAGTTGCCAGTTATCTTGCTTTTGTGGCACATAAGTTAATTGTTCTTCTAGCTTGACAGATCCTGAGTAACAAATACTCTTCAGAATCTTTAGTTATTTAAATAGCATCACTATTTTTTTTCTCCTGCTATTCTGATCTGTTCTTCTTCCACAAGTGCTTACACAAGCAGCTTTTGAGCTGCTGCTCCTTTATTTTTTTCCTGCCTTGAGCCTACATTCCTTTTGCCCTCTGCTTGCTTTTCCAGCTTTATTACTAGATTAATTTTTCTAATTCTGTTCTAAATGCCTTTTTCCATATTCCTGGAATTATTTTCTTATTAGCTTATGCTGTGCTCCTAGTACTCTTAACCACTAAATGTACAAATTGTGTGAAGTGAGAGGTGTCGCTGCTTTCTCAGCGGATAGCTGTTTTGTGTTATTTTGCCTTTTAATAATAACCTCTTCCAGAAAAGGGCTTTTCACTCATCTCCCATAGCAGCTTTTAAAGAAACTGCCTGAACTATTATTACTACAATGTTGCTACACAAAATAAATAGCCAGTTCAGTCACATCCCCCTAAAGAGATGAGACGCTCCTCACCGATACACACTTCCGGTTTTAGCTGAGTCATCTCGAGTCTTCAAACTGAGGTTAACCATTAAGACAGAGTGCGTTAGAGCAGGCACTAGGACGCAACGTACTGACTAGCACAGCTGAGGATATGGAAGTCTAGCTACCAATGAAAAGGACTGCCCATCATCCTCCCCCCCTCCTTCAAATCTGCTTCTAATTCTGGGACCGTGTTCTCAGAGACTTTTCCAAGTTGGAATCAAGTTATTTGGGATGTGATGCGCGCATAGTTTTTCTACAAAGGAAAGATATCAAACATAGGTTTTAAGCACAATTACCTCTGTTCTGCAAAAGAGAGGCAGGTGGACGTGGCTGAAGGCCCCAAAGGTTTTCCATACCATTTCTGTCTTTCAAATCCAACAAGTGGATTAAAATCAAGGGATCTATATCTAATAAGCTGCTACTAGCTGCTGAGCCTAGGGTACTTCCTCCCCGCCTTGAAGATCTTCCATTTGCATTGGCATAGCCATGGCTAGTACCTAAGGAAGAGTTATGGAGAAAGAGCGCGCATGTACATAACACAGGTGATGCATTAAGCTCCAGCACCCTGTAAAAAAGAAGAAAGCTGAGTTCTTCATCTAGAGTAGGAATGACAACATTCCAAGAAACTTAACAAAACATCAGCCTTATTTCATGGATTGATGGATTCAGAAAGCACCCCAAAAAACAATCTGATACACTTCTAACTAAAAGCTTAAGCTAAAAAGCATCATAGAGCAAAACCAAAAAATACTTTACTTCATGATTTTTTTTTTTAATGTAAATCACTTAGTACAAAGAGCATTTATTCTAAAGAGATGTACATAAATATTCTAATTTTTCTATTAAATTTAGGAGAGGTCTTCACTTAAGTTCTGCTCTGTGCTTTAATGTTCCTGTTACACAGTGGCAAAGACCCTCAAAAGATCAAGAGAATCTTCAGAGAAAATAGGACCTGAGAGATTAAATCAGATAGCTTAGTAGAGTTCCCTTCCAACACACGTAAGTGACACTGCTAACGCTTCCGACTAGAAAACACTGCAAGTAGGCAAATGCAGGAAGCTTCTCTTAAGTGAAGAGATTACAAATACTGTGTTAGCTTTTAAAAGGCAGTTAAAAATAACTCTTTAACATCTCCTAAATAAATGGTATGTCTGCAGCCACTGTACAACTTCTTTAAATGATATGCTTCTGAAAGGAAACAGACACCTTCCTCAACTTCTTAACTCACAAGGAACTTTCAAGGAGAGTTAAGTTGCGAAACACCGACTAAAAGCAAGTAAGGCAGTTAAAGCACTTCCAAGCACTAGCAGACTTCCACAGTAGCATAAGTGACAGTTCTTGTCTCATTTGTGGTTATCTTTGTCATGACTGGAACAAAAAACATATTTGTTTCAGAATCTTGAGGAATAGATTAACCTCTGACTCAAAATATGAGCTCATCTCAAGACTGTAAAGTATCTTAGAGCACCTTTTCACTACTGCTCCTACTTGACTCTTAATAATTCTACACTTCATCCCCTCCACATAGTTCAAGTTTTATGGTGCATTAAAACCTAACTGAATATGTCACATGGTCAGAGGCCACACAGACATTAGTAAAGACTGCTTGTCAGTCTACATTTGACTGGAATGGAAGGGCTTTCAAAGAGGCAGAGAAGCTTCACTTCATAAGTTAGGACTTACGTACTACTTTTGAACAAGTACGTCCAGAAGATCGATCCTTTTCCCTCCCTCTTTTTTTTGTTGTTGTTGAATCAACGAGATGTTTCCACTACACTGCAATAATCAGTACACGCTACATGATGCGGCATTTCCAAAAACAGAAATGGCTGCAGAACACGCAGCTTGGCAATGCTTCCAAGAACAGGGAGGGAATCCAATAGCCTTTCGTATGTATGGGAGTTCTGAAGGCTACTTCTCATACCTGATGCTCCAGGAGTAGCAGCAGCAGCAGCAGCAGCATCCTCCATGAGATCTCCTTCTTCCAACTCCATGTTATTACTATATTCTACATCATTTTCACCAGACCTTAGGAGATGATTGGGGTGGAAAAGGGGAAATACAGCTATTAGCTCCTGTCAGCTCCTGTCAAACATTATGGCATTTATCTTGGAAAAAAAAACGTGAAGCATTGTAGATAGAATTTTCTGCATTCCAAACTACACAAATTAAACAAATTAAAGGGCATTAATTAAATAATTGACTCAGTAATTGAGAGCTAGTGTCATACATTTCCAGACTGTAAAAATCTGATCCTGCAAGCTTTTATAGCTGTACGTGTTACAACACATTTGAATATTTTATTGAAGGTTCTAGGATGTGACATTATCATCTAAGCTACAAAGTTTAAATTCTCTAGGTTTAAGTAACTTATCGTCATTGTGACTAGCTTCCTACTACTACACGCTTTTCTAATACCAAAGCTCTATTTTGTTAAAATATCAACTAGCATAGAAAGACTTCTCAATAGGGTTTCAGAATGGAACCTTCACAGAGCATCACTCATCAATGACAGAATACAATACTAAATAAATCAAAAGACAGGAACTACCTGCCTGAAAATTCAACATTTGGTGTTAAACATATCACTACTTATCGTTGCCAGCGCTGGCAACATCCCTCACGTCGCGCTGAAATCCCCCACGCAACATTACTCTGATATAGTGAATGAGTCAGCTTCCACCAGGGTACAATGACTACTCCCCAGGAGACAAGGTGATGATCTGGAAAGCGTTTTTGAAGTTACTCACATAGTTTCTTCATCAATATCATTTTCTTCAGTGTTACTAGTTGCTGTCGAACTTGCTGAAGAGCTGCTACCATCAAGGTGGTTTATTTCATCTTCTCCAGCTAGATCTACGTCCAGGTCACCATCAGAGAGTTCATGCTACAGTAACAATAGAACAGGTTTTTATATATACATACACACACACACACACAGATGAGTGTGTATATATATGTATATGTATGTGTGTGTGCGCGCACATATATGAATATCACTTCAATTGCACTTTAATGCATTTACCAAAAACTCTAAACAGAAACTCTCTCCTCCCAAAGGTGTCAAGATATCACAGAGGACTTTTGGAGGGTCCAAAAGCACAATAAAAGCTGGCAACAAACAGAACCACTGGATTTTTTCAACTGCAGCAGGGAAAGCTTTTCCTTGTGGTGGGATCAGGTAGCTCTGCTCTAGAGCATCTCTCCTTAAGTCATCTTTTACTGCTACCTCCCACACGTGTTATCTCCTATTTCCACATAGAGAGTAATAAATCTAATTCACAATTCAAAAGTTGACCTATATTTCCACTGCTATCCTACCACAAAAAGTTACACAGAAACAAAGAGGCATGAAAAGATGATCCCTACGTTAAAGTCTTCATGCTGGATCTTCTCCTCATCGTCTTCCTTGCTATCTCGCACTCCTGGAGCGGCAACATTCTCAAGTAGTACTTCAGCACTTTGTCCAGGTTTCTTTGATCTGGTTTCTGGACCATCATCATTCTGGGGACTAAGATGAGTGTCTGGAGGTGAAATGCCTCGTGATTTCTGGGTCCGGGAAAGTTCAATTGCAAGCCTCTTAAATATTAAAAGGACATAAAAGTATATATAGAAGATAACAACGGAGCCACACCATCATCTTTTTTTTTAATTTGCATATATATTATTATATGTCACTATTAAACTAACAATAGCTATCCAAGTAAACAAATTGAACTTCGTAACCTAAGACTGGTCAGTAAAAGGTGAACATGAACATTTAACATCAACATACATCCCACTTACCTCTTTAAGGTTATTTATTTGTTGGATGTAACTTGTCTGAGCTGCTTCCAGCTGAGCAATGTACCAGTGTTGATCTCGACACTTTTGGAAGAAGGTCGGTGAGCGCACTTGGAACCTTCAAAACAAAATTTGCAAAGTTTCAGTTTTGTTCTGACAAAGTTTGAAAAACCCTGCATAAAAACATCATACAACATGAAATTTAGTAATAAAGTAAACTTAGACAATAAGTACTTCTACATACTAAGTATCTCAAATGCATTGAATGGTAACAGCAAGTATTTTGTAGGAGAGGCAATTATAGGAGAGGTAGTCGTCTTCACAAACTGACACTAACAAAACTGACGTGCTACAAAGCACTTAACAGGAGCAAGGGTGGAGCAGTGTAGAGAACATCTGAAGTAGCTGAATCAAGTTTCTGTATTTAGTCATAACACTGCAATTTCCATTGACAGCATTAACTCTGTTGCACCACAGACTTCCTTCATTCATTCCCAAAGCTCTCCTATGCTCACCAAAACTGTTTCTAAAGAGGGGAAGAAAATGCATTTTTCCTTCAATTCAGTTAACTACAGATTTCCAACCCAGGCTTGTTAGTGTCAAGCACAGCTTCACCTCAAAGAAATACACAAACTTCCCTCAACTCCCTTCAGCACATTTTCTCCTTTAAAGCTTATGACACTGAATTCCGTTTATGATAAAATATGTCACACTTATTTTATATTCAACTACTTGATTACTTCCTATTTTAGGAATGTGTGATTTTTTTGCAAAATGATAGCAGAAAAAAGTCCCACTAAGTTGCCTTCTTTACCTTAAAATCACAGTATCATTTTGTCTGTTTAAATAGCCTTCATTGGCTAGCAAGTCTAGACGAAAAAATCTGTTGTAACCCCAGCATTCTCCAACTTCAAAATCAGAGGCAAACTCTCGAATTATGTTTTTAGCTGGATCATTGGTGGACTGGTGAACCATTTCCACGCGGTACTCATACCTAAGCAGAGAAAGATTGCAGGGATTAATACCAAAACAAGAGAGACATCACAAAGAGCTGAAGCCATCAAGTTTAAGAGAACTATACTTTTTTGGGAGGCTAGCATTTCCAGCTGAAGACGTGATTCAGTCTTAAAATTTTATCGAACACTTATGCAAACACCATTGGCGGAAAGATGTAAAGAGAGTAGTCTGATAAACCAAGCCTAGGACTCAATACTGGGAGTCAGATATTCTCATTTGTTGTACTACCAGCTTGCTGTCTACCTTCGACAAGCCACTGAACACCAACTGTAAAATATCACCTTTGGGCATGATTCAAAGCTCAATGGACAATAGAAATCACTCTATTCTTTTTAATAGGCTCTAAATAAGTCCCTGGCAACTCTACAGAACTGCTCAGGTCATTCTTTGCAAAGCTCTCCAGATGCTTTGGCAGTAAGTTTTCTTACTTGGATGTCTCTGGCAATCCAGCCGACAGCTCCAAGAACACAGACAGGTAGTAGCCCCGTACCACTCCGTTCCCATCCTGAGAAAACAAACAAGCAAACAAACAAACCCACAAGTTGAGAGATAAATCTTTAAAAATAAAAATAAAAAAAAATTAAAGCCCAAAACAGACAAAATCTACTTCCACACACCCTTGAAGTGTCAGAAAATAGCTTCAATTCAGAATTTCTAGATAGCCCATTTTGTATACTACAGTTTTGATTTTTGTCTTCTGTGACCTAGAACTCTTACTGTAACTTGGATCAAGGTAGAATTCACACCTGGAAGCAGACATGCACTCTAGTATTTGTATCTCAGATATAAACAGCCATCTCAGAACACAGCTTAGGTTACTCTAACATTTTAGCAGTTCAATTAAGTACAAAACTGAATAGACAAACGCTTGTCAACGTGTTGGAACAACATTTATGTAACAGAACATAGACCAAGCAGTGAAGAAAGCTCACAAAACCTACTCATCGGTTTATTATGGTCCAATTCTCTCAATACAAACTCTTAGCGTGAAAACAGCTCAGGTTAAACATTAGTTCTGAAATATTTTACATACAGCTGCATTTGAAAGCCACTTCATTTCTGAAAGCGGAAAGAATAATTTATTTTGTTCAGAAAGACATGCAACATGAAAAAGTTAGGTCAATTAACACAACTTAAGAATCACCAGGATTCAAGAAAAATTGTGGCAAAACCTGCATCACACTCACCTTAATCAAGGATGAATGGCTCAACTTGAATCTTCTAGGTTGAAGAAACTTTTCAACTTACCACTTCAAAAATAATTTTAATGCCTTTTGACAATGCACCTTGCATAGCCAATCCTGAATTTAAAATACTCTGAAAACTTACACAGCAGTCCACCTCTGCTCTGCAGGAATACTATCCTGTGCATATGTGGGCTTGACAGATGAATCCAGTTCTCTGAGGATCCCATTTAAATGACTAACAAACAACAGAAGTTGTACTCCACCACTAAACTCATGAAGATATTTCTCCAAACAAAGCTATCAGAGCAGCCAGAGCTTTCTGGAAGCACTGACCAAACTAGTGGAATGAAAAAGATCACACTTTATCGGTTAACATTCCAACACTGACACAGATACTGCTTCAAAAGTCTGAATATTCAGCTCACTGAAAGGACATTGGTACAATACACACGTTTTAATGTCAGCATTTCAGGAATGTACAATCAGGAAAACAGCTTCCCCTTCAAACAATACTCTGTCCTTCCCTCAACTTCCAAAATAAGTACTGTTTATAAAAACATAAACATGGTAAGTTAATCTAGATCTCAGTGCTGCAAGAAGCACAATAAAAAAAAAATAATCACAAACAAAAGGGTAGAAATACCTATTAAGGTTGCTATGACATATTTATAAGACCCACTTTTAATTGCTTTTAAATTAGCCAGATTAACTGTACTGAGAATGCTCATACTGGATATCTGGAGGCATAGAAGGAATGCTCCAATAGTTGCTGACTGACAACTGCAATCTTATTAAGTTTTTTTTCCCATACAGCTTTCTTATATACAACATCTCTTTTCTCACGAGAAGGCTCTAACCAATGTTTCTCTACAGGACAAGTACATGCGTGCTGCTTAAGTGTCTTGGATGGGGTAACAATTCTAGTTGAACGTATTAACTCACTGGATAAACTTTTAACCTCCAGCAAAGTCCTGACACTTGAAGAGGCGGACTGTAAACAGGATCTGCTCGTTGACGCAACGTACTATGGAGAAAAGAGAAAAAAACGCTATTGAGAGAAAGCAAAACCCTCCATGAGGGAGTAAGCTGCATATACACTTACACTCTGGAACTGTCCTTGCTGCACAAAGAGCACGTAACAGCATGTGAGGCCCACGCAAAACATTAAGCATTCATACAAATATATGTATTCCTTGCCAAATTGTTCAATCTTTCAGAAGTTGTTCGCTTTTATCATGGAACATCTTTTTAAACTATCAGTTGAATTGGAGTTAATTGTTGTTCAGTTGGTACTTAAAGAGATTTTGATTGAATTCCTACAGCTTATTTTGCATCTAACAGTTTTCAGAGACTATTCAGTGTCTTAAACAATATTAAACATGTACAGAAGAAACAGAAAGAGCTTCCTGATATTCACAGTAACTTCTAAAGATACATTCTTACCTGAAGTTTTCCAAGACAAAGGTGGTTGAGTCATAGGCAGGAACTAATTCACTAGGGAAAAAAAATATATATACATATTAATTGAATAACATCACATTAAAAATCCCAACTTCTGGACTCCTCAGAAGCATTTAAGATGTTTTAGATTACTAGATCCACCGAAATGCACTAAAACTATACTTGGTTTTTTTCAGCACTTCTGAAAATTCCACTCATGAGCCTTCTCCCCAGCACCTCTCCATGTGATACCACACATCAAAGCAAATGTTTTACGCTATGGTCAGGAAGGAAGAGCTGACAAAAGTATTTAAAGACAGTTAAGAGGATTTGCCCTTTTGCCTGTGGAGCCTAATAATCTCCTAACAGAGCAATTTGTATTGTAAAACTCTGATAGTTCTATAAAGGATGGAACTGTTGCATGGCTGAAAGAATAAAGCTAAAGTGGTTCATGTTTCAGAGATTACTGCCACTGGAAAATGCATGTTCAGTTTTAAACTCTTTTCAGAGAGACTTTTAAGTACTCTTTTCAGAAAACACTTCAAGGTATAGTTTTCACATTGCACTTACAGTTTTGAAATTGCACTTCAAAGACAGACTAATATTTGCTAGAGAACACAAACTGATTTGAGGAATTCTTCTATGATTTCTCATACTCTCAATTTTACAGAGAGGCTTTGCAGCCAGCTATCCCTAAACTCTGACTTCTTCAGAACCCAGCACTAAAACTACTCTTTTATGAAAAGGAATTGTGTTAGGAAGTGGTTTTGGCTATATAGTCTGAATTAAGGTGACCTGCAGAGGTATCTCATGAGAGCGTTGCAATTATACACTGAACGACCCCGATAATAAGACAAAAAGGGCAAATCAGTAAACTGAGTGTAAAAAGAGACGTTTTTAGCCAACTGGAGCCCATTGTTCTGATTCCACAGCAGGGACGATAGATTTATAAAATAAGCCCTGCTGGAATAGAAAAGCCTTCCGGTGGACATTGTAAGAGGAGTAAGTTAAGCAATTTGTCAGTGTACAAATCTCAGTGTACAAATCTCAGTGTACAAATCTCAGTGTACAAATCTCAGTGTACAAATCTCAGTGTACAAATCTCAGTGTACAAATCTCAGTGTACAAATCTGGATTCAAATTCAGCCAGAGGAAATTGAATTTCACCCTGAGAAAAGGACAGAATAAAGCTACTCCACAGATTATCACCACCAATGCTTGCATGGCTGGGGAGCATGACTCCCCTTCACTATACGTGGAGTTAGGGAATCTTTCTAGCAACTCAAGCATTTATTGCTCATTCTTCCAAACCCACATGTTAATATCTGGTGGTACATCCCTGCCCTAATTTTACAACAGGCTTGCACTTATCAACATCCAACTACCTTCCAGAATCACTAGACCATCCTCCTCCACACAATCAAAATCTGTCCTGTGGGACAATCTTCAGCAGTTTTGGAACTTTTTGTACAGCAATATGGGAAAGAGATAAAACTCTCCTCCAAGTTACTGTAAGCATTTTTAAAAAACAAAACAAACAGTTCTAAGATAGCTTTCAAGTTCAAACTACAACACAGAGGAAACGCACTGCTTACCTTGTGAAGTCCGGAGGAACCGGAGTAGTGACAAACGAGGCCATGGGTTTCCGATGAACCTGCTGGAACATCATGAGGATCTCTGAACTCTTGGATATCAACTCACTCTTACTACATGATCGTAACTGTATGAGAAAAAATAGGAAAAACAAAAATCCGTATGTCATTAGCGGAAACCACAGATTTTGACTGTATTTGTTTTTAAACAAATTAATTGCATATTAAAACACTGCCTGCCACAGCTTCAGAAAGATTAGCCGTGACGCAATCCCAAACAATGTTCAAATTTTTTTATATTTTTAAAAAATATTTCTCTTGAAACTGTCAGCTCTTAAGACTAAGAGTTTGCTATGATAGCTAACAGTGACATCTTCTAAAATTCTTATTAAGAAATTAAAATGAATACTCTGATTCTGTCTCACTCCAAAGGCCGTGCAACCTACTTGGGAAATCCTGAGTACTGAAGACTCTCTCAACTTCTTAAACGAAAATTACAGTTTACTATGTACTTCACTTAGATCTAAAGGATTTATGTATACATATGCCCGATTAATACCAAGTCACACCTTTTACTGTGCTTAGACAACAATAGCAGAGTAGATCAATCTGCAAGTGAAGCCTAATTATGCACTGGGATAGTTTTGTTCAATACATCACGATATGCCAAAACAAGGTCGTGTGACCTCAGACAGTCTTTTTTACATTTCAGTTGTTCCTTTGCTGCCTCATTGCCAAGCACTGTACTTTTGTTGTTGTTGCTTGTTCAACTGAATTTGAACAAAGCAAAAGCATATATTATCTTAAACAGAAGGCCATGAAAATGCATTTAAATCCACTTCATTCCAGATGGCTTACAGGACCAAGCATGATGACAAAAGTCTTTTCAAAATCTGAAGGTTCAATAAATACTTTTGTACAAATCTAATGTTATATGTTCCTGGAATAACTAGTACTGTATATTTTAAACCTCTTCACTAAAGGAGACAAAGCTATTCTGCTTCTCACTTATAGCTTAAACATTGGAAAAACATCTCTTACGCTTACCGTTCAAGCTTTCTGCCAAGCTTAGGTGAGACAAGTATATACATTTAAAAAAAAAAAAAAACACACACACACACACACATTATTGCTATGAATTCTTTGCATAATTCTACTACTTCCCCCAAAAGAACATGAAAGTGAAAGCCTCTCTTGACAAAGTCATACGTAATTACTTTAAACATGCTGAGGTCTAAACAGTTGCCAGATAGCTGCATCTTCACAGAACCTTTTCAGTTAACAAGTTTTTTCTCATATTTTGGAGGGAAAAGTCCTGCTTCTCTAGTTCCAATTTATTATTATTTCAATGATTTTTCTACAGAAGAGAAGCCGATCTGCAGAGTCACATATGCACCAGCACGACTGTTCAGAAAGATACCGAAGGTCCTCATTTGGGTTGCAATGTAAATGAGAAGTAATTCTTGAATAAGCTATAAATAAAGGGCTCTCAAGTAGCCCAAGGGGGGGGGGGGAAGAGCCAAAGCACAATATGTAGAAGCATTCACCCTCCTGACCTCAACAATTCCTCCACATGACATTCCATTACGGGTATAAAATAAATAACTTAAGTGCAAGGAGAGCACATTAATCCCTGCTCAGGTAATGAAGCCAAGTTAGCATTTTTACTGAAACAAAAGCAGTGGAGGGGAATGAAGAAGGAATACAGAACAAGAGGCATAACTCAGAAAAAAGCTTTCTTCCCCTCCCGTTTCAGAAGTTTTTATTTTTTTCCCCCCTGCCAGAAATCTAAAAAGCTAGATACTGCTGAAGGAAAATACAGGATGCAGTAACGGGGAAAAAAAAACCTGCCATTTGCTCAGAGCAAGCATAAATTGTTCAGGGCTAGTAGAATTTGAATATTCCATTCAAATTCAAAAGCCAAACTTGCGTTGCTAGAAACAAAATGAAAAAAAATCATATCACGTCAACTTCTGGATGGGACTAAAAGAACTAGAACCATTTCAGTTTTCCTCAATTGCACAAAGTGAAACAGGACATTTTTGTTTATTCTCCACTTATAGCCACCACTATTCATAGGCTGCTGGCAGCTGCAAAACTGACAGAAATTAGCCACACAGTCCAAACGCTAAGCTAACTTAAACAAATGCACAACTGTGCAATTTTACATGACATTGCTAGTAATCCCTGTACTAGTTTTTCAAGCAACAGAAGAGAACACCTTTCATTATTTCCAGAAGACATACCACTTGCTTTTAAGAAGAAATCGTACAACCTAGGGCCACTTAAATACAGAGATACCTTCAAGAAACAGCTCTATCAATTAAGAGTTAAAAAAAGATAGAAGGCTGACTGATGATACATCTATGTAACATCTATGTAACTTTCAACATTTCAACTCTTTTCATAATCACCTGATGTTCTACTTCCTGGAGCAGGGATTCCAGAAGTTCAGTTTCTTGGGTAAGTGATGTCTTTTGACCTGTTTAAAGCAAAGGAAGATAAAAGACATACTCACTGGATTTTAAGAAGTCTAGCTTTTTTTCTTCCTGGAAGCTGCCCCAAAACCTAATAAGGTAAAGGATTTCTAAATATACCAAGGTTGATTGAGAAAGCATTTTAAAAGTAAGCCTACGTTTTTAATTAGAGCTGTAGTGAAGAAGTCACCTGAGGTTTAACACAGTAATGAAATATTATTTCTGGGACAAAAAGAATAGGTTTTTTGTTTGGCGGCACTTTTTTGGACAAAGAAAGGCAGGTTTGACTTCACTGAACTTGCTCTCATCCAGCTAAGTCTCCTTTTTATTAGCTGACATTTTTCTCTTAAAAGCCACTGTTTCTCTTGTCCTTTGATGTTTAAGCATTTTTTTCCTTTAAAAAAGAACAAACAATATTTAAAAGTGTTTGTGCATTCCAACTGATGTTAAGACTGTGATAAGAATAAACACCTACATCACATGTATCTGTTCTCTGTCATGAGGATTTGAAATCTTTGTTTCTATCATGCATTCAATACCTGAAGAGCTTTTAGCAGTCCTTAGAATAAAGGTGCTACATGTACAAAATGTTAATCTGTACATACCAAATAATTAGGACATTCTAAAACGGCTTTCAGACTGATCTTCAATCAGTACACACCAAAACAAATCTTGCAATTGATATGTAAGAATTCTAGGTTTATTCTAAAGCAGGCATTTAAAATACTGATAGGAATTGGAAGAGGAACTTGAACTATGTCTGATATACATTTCTTATCTTTTTTTTTTTTTTTTTTTAAATGGGAAGGAACTATGAGAATAAACGTAAGCATCATCAAAACCAAGGACATTTTCCAAGCACGCACATGTCATTTTTTGGAAGGGGAGGAGGGAAGTGGGGAATTTCAAGCACCAGAAAAAAGTTTTCAGCACAGCTATTATTCCCTTACTTTTATTTTTGAAATAAGCTGATAAATACAAGGTCAACGATCTATTTGTTCATGCACTTTCATCTACTGGTTGTGTAGCTCACAAAACTAAGGTCATAAGTATAACATTTCAAGAATGACTAAAGAAACTGATGTCCCAAAAGAAGTCACCTTTATTATGTGCTTCTATCAATGCATTTAAGAAAGTGAAAGCATGCGTGCAGAAAAAACAAGACACAAGCTAAGCAAGCCGAACAAAGCATATACGTAGTTACTAGTCAACTGAGGAATATAATCTAGATCTCCTGACTTCACCTGCTAGTCTATTCATTGAAAGCTGTCTCTTCACCTAAAATCATTTTTAAAAAGTGTTGCTTCTGCAAGCTTCAGTACCTGTAAACGTACCACCTATCTTCTCACCTATGTTATACCAAAGGAGAGCTAAAAGGACTAGCCTCAGGGTAGCAACAGCCATCAGGAACCAAACTAGCAGCTCTGATTCCAGATGCCCACACTCTCATTTGTGGACAACGCTGCCTCTATGTATGGTTCTGTTGTTCATCATAGATAATCATAAATAAGCAATTTTTTAAAAATAACGTTACGAGGAGAAGATATTACAAAGATGTTCACAGACAAATATGTACCTCCTAGCTAATAAAAACTTTTGTGTAAACTCACTTTCACAACTAGGTGAAAAGTACTAAATATCTTCCAATAAGAGGTACATTTTCTCCAAGTTACTATACAGGACTTTCTAACAGAACAAGAACAGGTTTGGTTGCACCAAACAATTTAGAGCTATAACACAGTAATTACAAAATTAACTAAAAGCCTTGCTCTGCGTAAACGTTTTCAGTCAGCAGTTTCCTGGCTTACTGCTGAAAAGCGTGCAAGGAGTCATACTCTTAGGGAAAAAAAGTTCATCTGTAGATTTACACATTATTGATATAATGCTCTCACTCGTAACAGATGAGGCAAATACCTACCCATTAACGTTATAAGCTTATTCTTCAGCTGAGTGTCTAACCGGGCAATCATCATCTCCACTGCATTTCTGATTTCCCGAACCCGTTCATCCTTTGCACTGCGCACTGCCTCCACATTCCTCTCCTAAAACAGGATTCAGAAAGAACATGTACACAAAGAAAGCCTTCACACTTCTGCGCATCTTTTAACTCACTTTACACGTAGACTCCACTCTCTCAGATCAGGGAGATGCCTAGACATCCTCTTGAAGCTGCCTCACTCCTCCTCCCAAGCCCTACTTTTTCCATTGGGGGGCGGAATACCTCATCCTACAGAAGCTCTCATGTTTAGAATGAGAAAATAGGGAATTATGTTTAGACAATCTGTATTACAGTCTACTCCAGAGGTCAGTCTAAATGCTTCATTATTATGTTGTAAATATCCTTCCACTTTTATTGAATAAGTAAGTGTGCCCTCTGGTGGGTTAACCAAAGGTTAACAATAAAGTTAGAAAAACATTTGTCATTACAGAGACGTTTGCCATTTCGGGACTTTTCAGTATCAACATTCATAAATACAACCACCAGTTTCTTTTCTGCAAACAGAACAGCATAGGGAAGCTGTTACCTTTTTGGTAACAGCAATGATCTGATTTAAATTGTGCCCTTCATTCTTGAGCGATCCTCAAAATATTTTACAAATACTTCCAAGCAACCCATTTGGTGATATAACATGGCCACATTTGAGCTAAAGCAGAGCTAACCTACCAGTATATGCTGCAGACAAATACATGAACAATACTGTAGCCAAGAACCACGTAAAAACTTCTTGACAGGTAAGACGTATCTATGCAGTACATCTGGAATATATTTTATTTGCACGACTACATAATACACGGCCCCATATTCAGCAGATTTTTCCTAGAATACAAAATCTGTATTGCTTTGTTGGAACTTCAACTGAAACTGCCAAGGCCAAACTTGTCAGATATATGGAAACTTCTGGCACATTTACCACTATGGAGAGGAAAAATGTGGCACTAGGTCTAGGTAGTGAACTGCTTTATTGAATATAGCCCCTCCTGTGGACTCAAATATACTTTTAGTTTATTTTCTTAAGGTAAGAAAAATAAGCTAGGCTACAATAATGCATTTTTATTCTGGTTTAGCCACACTCAAACACAAGAGATTGTACTCTATTACAAGTGTTAACAAAAACACGTCTTTCAAAGAATTGCACAACTCTAGCTTTTAGATAGCATATACCCAAAGAAAAATCTCCTGCTAGCTAACTCACCTATCTTTTTCTGTCTGGCAGTTACAAAAGCAGCATCAAGACTGTGCCGATCTTTCCATAAGTTATAATAAGAGTATCAAGAGTACAACTAAGAAGTGAAAACATCTCTCTATGGGATGATCTGACTACCTTCACAGAAGTAACAGCACACAGGTGCAGAAAAGGCCATGAGTGTATGAAATAGTATACTATTTCCATTTCCCGCTTCACAGTTATTCTTTGACAATAGAGCACTATAGGAAAACCTAAGGTTGTCTTTGATTAATTTCTTACCACTTCTTGCACTAAACTGATCAATTCCATGAGTCTTCTCCTAAGCTTTGCCACTTCTTCATTTACTTTTGTGACATGCTGCTCATAAATTTCTGCCAGTGGCTTAAAAGTATGTCCTCCGTGCTGTTGAAAGAAAAAAAAAAGGGAGGGGAAGCATTGAATAATAGAGTATCCCATTTTAACTTAACTCCATCCCTATTAAATTATAGAGAGGGGAAGAAAACCTCCTAGTGTATCACTCAGTTTGGAAAAGCTCCAAAGCAGATTGTATGTAGGAAGTCTGTCTTTCACTTCCCTTCACAAGAAGTCATGAATTTGGCTTTCATACCATCAAAGCTTCCTGTCAAGAGTTATTTAAAGTCCGAGCAGTCATCCAAAAATAAACCACTTCATTCACAGTGCATATCTTCAACAAATCAAAGATAGAAGTTTTTTTTTTTTTTTTAAATTAAAACACTCTTCCCAAACAAATAGCACAGTTTTAGGTACATTCAACCACTTATATTCCAAAGCATGACAGGCAGCTCTCCTCAAAATACTCAATTGAAAGGATAATAAAGAGCATGGTGAAGTGTTTTACTAATAAAGCTTTGAAGACACTCAAAGTTATTGCCCATGATATTTAAAACCACCCAACCTTTATCTATATTCTCAGAAGTTCTCTTTCTTTGCGCATAAAGTTCTCATTGCCATCTTTAGTTTGACCAAAGTATCATGAAATTTGTAACAAGGAAGATAATTCTGATCATCTCCTTTCAAAAATTTCAACTTGCTTCTGTATTTAGTAACAGCAAATATTGCTTTTCAAACCTAGATAAATTTTTTACACACATAGGACAACTATAGTATTTGCATGGCAATTCAACAGCCATACCAACAGTTTCATGACAATTCTATTCCTTCAAATTGCACTCAAACACAACATAGTCTCCTATTGGAAAATAACATATGCACATATGCGAATCTCTTCTTACCATTCCTCCCCAAAGTGCACACTGGTGACAGATACACTTCTTACAGGTCCAGCAGAACACACTAAGTTTTTCATGATGGTTTTCACACCTTAAACAAAGAATACACACAAATCATCAACAGAAAATTGTCAGAAATTTTCTTTGAACGTAAGTGTTCTACAAGAATACTCATAGTCAATTCAAAACCTTTTGTAAAATACATGCTGTTCTTAGCACCCCTTCAATGTTTGTGAGAGCTACAGAGCTAAAATTGGGTTTGTACCCAGCAGATAGAGGATTTCACTGAATCTGGCCTGAAATTCTGTAAGTTAGTATCTCACATCATTAAAACACCAACCAAGAACTGCAATCTGCAACTGAAAGTAACTGCAGTAGTGCCTCATAAGTTTTTTGGCCAAATTGACGCTTGTCAGTCCTTAAAAGTTTCATAAACAGGATCAATGAACAAACTGAATATAGACCAGACGAGACCTCCAGCACACGGCTCTCCCTCCCTCCTCCAATAGGTTTTGGGAATTTAGGGAGCAGCCAGGTATGGCACACATAATTAGTCCCTGTCTGTTGTTCAACGCTTCTGCTCATTCTTTTCTCCTTCAAATCTTCAGAATATGTCTCAAAAGACAAAACAGCACTGATAATAGAAAAGTAAGCTTTTCTCCTGGTTTTATTATGTGCTGAGATACCAAATCGGCACTCACAATCTTAAATGGTACTGCCAAACAAAGAAGGCATTGAGACAATACATTTGTTTCAGGTGTATAGTCCCTAAGAAGGGCTATGAGCCATTTGCATTACTACCTTTCATCTTTCCCATATCTCTCATTTAAAACACATCGACTCAAACTAGAACGAGTATAGTTTTCTAGGCAAAGACGTTTAAGACCTTTTCTCACTGCAACTAAGTATGACAGAAATGAACTCCAACTTTTAGTCAGAGAGCATGAAACAGCATTGCTTTTGTCTGTTAAGCCACAGCACGCTTTAGCTTTTAAGTAATCAACAATTATCAGTTTGGTCCCTGATTTTAAAATGAACTGGAACTAAATGCCCACTCATGTAAGACAAACTCCAAAACCCTTTGTGTGAAGAATGTTCCATTTACTTGTCTTTTTCGTTTTCTTCATGCTTGGTGAGATTGCACAGTTGAAGTGTATCAAGTTGTTGTGTGACTTCTTCTGCCCAACGACAGTTGACCAGCTCTCGTAGCTGCAGTGGGGCTCTGCAAAGAAGCATTGCTGAAGTTAGAGCAAAAACACAGTTCCAGGAGCATAAATGAAAGCAGCAATGAAAACTGATTCATCTCATCAATTCCACTCTACCAGGAAAGTCATAGGCATAAACAGAGATATCAGAGCTGAAGCTATAGTGGCGATTTCAGGAAAAAAAAAAAAAAAGGTTAGAAATGTGATGTTTTAAGTTGATTTGCTTTTGTTATGTAAAAAACAATAAAACATGGAATAGGTACATGAGGAACCCAAGAACTATTCCCAGATTTGTTAGTAGACTGCTGGATAACACCAGGCAAATCATTTCATTGCTCAGGGCTTCAATTTCGCCCATTATTCAACTATCCTCCTGGTAATGCTTCAGTTGTCCCCTTCGCAGGATGTAGATATATTTACCTCCTTTCAAGCATTTTAGACCCATTGATTAAATACTTTAAAAACTGAATATTAAGTTCTGTAGAAATGGTTGGTTGTTTTAAATACTTCCCCTCCCATCAGGGCAAAAAAAAGTCTTCTCCCCTCCACTGGAAATATGTTTTTGGTCTATACTCAGGAACTAGAATTGCTAAGGGGTGCCAGTGCTGGGGGGAGGGGGAAAGGACTGTATTGCATTTTAAAGATATAGTTTTTTAAACTCTCAGACACTCCGCAACACATAAAGTAAGTCTCACAAACTATAGATGTAGATCTAAAAAAAAAAAAAAAGTACATGTTTCAGTCTGAAAACTTTAGTTCCTGCTCTCTGAATCCTGCAAGAAGAATATGAAGAGTTCTAAGAGGAATACCTTCTAGTTTTTCTTATTAGATCAACTATAAACATTAAAAACAGTGGTGCAGCAGGGTAAGAACAAAGATACTGCAGAGCTTACTAGAACATATGTTAAAATAAATATTATACCAGTGTAAGTTTTTATACTATGTTACAGGCAGTTTTCAAAAGACAACTCGTTAACTAACAGGACAGTACATCCAATTTTGATAATTTATTTCTGATATTAGAAGCATCTTACCTACAATGAGGGCACTGAGCTCTTTGTTCAGTCAGCCAACGCTACAAAGAAAAAAGGAGAAACTTTTTAAAAAGCAACGGTGAGAAGTGCAAGCAAGCTACCTTTTACTGTTAATTCAGAGTTATTTTATTACAGTTTTCCTGTATTTTTCCTTATTTATAGATTTGTAGATCTTTGCTTAACCGCTTAGTAATGCAAGAAGCTGCTATTTATATCTTAATAACAAATCAATCGCTCTTTTCTTTGTTGTCAAAGACACTTTAGTTAAACTTAAAAAGAGAATCTTCAGGTACCTAATATTCCATGAGAAAACCTACTGCAGATTCCCACAGTTATAGACTAAAGAGCACGTTTCAACAAAAGAAAGCATAAGATATAGCAGATGCATTTTTCCTACTCTAGATGTTCGTCTTCAGGGTAACTTATTTCTTTCTTCTTGGGCTACTTACAACGCAAGTAATAAATCTGCAGTCCAATTATCAAATCTATATAGACTGTTCGAATGTTTCTCTTCCAGAAAGTTTCATTCAAAGATAAGTAGCTCAGGAAGGAACTTCAGCAGTCCAGTATAACTTACACATTTTAAAAAGTTCAGCAATTGAGAGGCTTATCTTTTGTCAGCTCACTACTACGCTTAAAGGTTCTCCATGAAAATATCTGTTGAAACTATCTCTTGCCACACACCAACAATAGGTCATCTAACATTCTTTTTATGTAGCATGAATACCTCCCATGTAGTTCTTTGCAGAGCTTTCAAAGAAGGTGATAATTGTTTACTTTGAGCTCTGGAAACACTATCCCAGGTCTGAAAACCTCAGCTGAACCCTTATTTAATCCACTACACATAGCAAAGTCTGGACTTGGAACTTAAGTATTATATATTGGTAACTATCACCCTAGTAAGTGAATTAAAATACTCTGGATGCTGCTTCAGCCTACTATACCAGACTCCCTCAAGAAGGCTTTAACAAGTGTGTGATCATGTCATACCAGGTTGGTAACTATTTTCAAAATGTATTTAACAGGATTAAAACACCTCCAAGATGACAGGAAATGTTATGACCTTTCAGTGTTCCATACAGACATCTGAAAGATCAGTATTTGCTTTCTGTTCCAACTTCTTCCTCTGTCCATATAGGCATCACTGACTCTGAAGAGGTGTTAAAGAAGAGGCCATCATATGCCTGTTCTTTAAAAGCAATTCTTACAGATAATCACTATAATTAGCACTACTTTATATAATGCACAGCATGCCTAGTCTCTCAGGGTGTCATAAAAGCTTTTGAAAGGGAAAATAAAGAGCACAGAGGAGGAAAAAGGAATCCTCAGAACCCCAGGAAAGGAGACAGGAAAAGAGCAAGAACGCGTTCTTAAGACCAGTAGCTCTGAGTTTTTAAGTGTATACATGTGCAAGAGTAAACTACGTTAAGTAAACTCACCCGAATACAACTGAAACAACATAGCTTGGAGCAATGGGGACACAGACGTGCATCACGCAATTTCTCCATACAAATAAAACATCGGAATACTTCAGCAATGCTCTGCAAAGGTTAGATTAATGCTATTGTTATGCCACAAACGTCAAACATTTATTTTCTAGGCAGAATGCCAGGTTTAATAAATAGAGTCCTATTCCAAACAGCTATGCATACTGCATCTTGGAGTAGGGTACCGGCTCAGACATCATGGCTCTCTTCCTCATTTCCTTTTACATCCCACCAGCACTCAGTGTCCATTTTAAAACGCTATGCTTCTTCCAGGAAGAATTTCCTTGTTGGATTTATCTTTTACCAACTAGGCATTTCTGTAGCCAAGAGCCATTATTCCTATTTGTATTCCCATGGTTGACAGTTGCCAGAAACAACTGTGCTGTATATGCAGATTCTCAGCCTATGAATTTCAATGTACTGGCTACGCTATGACCAATTCAAAAGCACATTAAGTACCTGTATATATCATACAGAATGTTAACTAGAAGGGTTGAATTGGACAGGTTATTTTCTTGACTTCTGTAAGACTTAATTTCATTTAAGGTCTACCATTACCATTAGATCCACAATTTCTCTGCCCCCCCCCCCCACTAAATTAATCTTGGGCAATAAAATCTGGTTTAACATACTGTTTCACTATACCCATTCCAACAGAGAAGTAATTTGTTCTTGAATATAACCACTTCATCTCTCTCCATTCCCAAAATTAGGAAAGTATTGCAAAATATCAAACCATATTTGCTTGTCACACTGATGGATTTTTCACCAATAAGGATTTTCCAAATATAGACTGCATGACTTGCCAGAAGGCACATTCTAAGAAACAAGAGTAAGGTTTGGAAAGTCTTGCAGCCTGTATTATATAGGAGTTAGATCCCTTCTGGCCTTACCTAAAGAACTTTGAAAGATTTTTTCAAATGGGCTATTTTTCCCTCCAGAGTTAAAACTATCATCGGCACAAAGCGAGCCGTATCGTCAATTTACAGATATCACAGCATCTCCTGTACCCTGATGTCCTTTTTAATCGCTGTAAAACCAAACAGATGCATTTACAGGAAGCTACGCGTTACATCTTTTAAACTCTTCGTCGGCTCGGCTCTCAGCACAGCAAGGTAGACAAGGCGTTCAGGTTACTCCTCTCGCAGGGCGCTCTGCCCTCACGCGTGCCAGAGCCGGTTCTGCCGGTGTCAGGGTCTCCCTCCACCTCAGGAACAGGCACCTGCCACGCTCCCCGGACACCTTCGCTAACCCGGGCCGTGTAAAACGACCGCGCGCCGCCTGGAAGCGCTACCGCCTCGCAGCCTTCCCCCCCCCCCC